TTGACGTGTACCTATGATGAAAATGACAGGCCTCTCTCATCTTTTTAAGTGGGAGAACTTGCACAATTGGTGGCTGACTAAATACTTTTTTTCCCCACTGTATTTTCATATGATCTGATTTTGGTTGAATTTTTAAAGCATGAATAGTTTAGGGATGTAATGATTTAACAGGGAGTGAAAATAGAGTGTTATAATGTGTATGTCATATCAGGAATGATAGGAGAACAAAGTCGGAGTTGAACATTGTATATTTTAACAATCTTGGATTTTTAAGCAATTGGGTCTGAGATGTTACTCATTAGACTATGTAAGTGATAATCACACAGCATTGGATGCTATAATAGTAGATAAAGAGGGAATGTATGTGATTATATGGGGGATACATGTTGGCCATTAAGATTAGGAAGGTATTGGGGATTTAAATAAAGCTATGGGAAATATTAGAGACATATAGGAAGGTATTAGGAGTATGAATAGAGATGTATCAGTCAATATAAATGCAAGGAGAGAAAGGATAAATTATGAATCTATATGTTATTCAAGGTTAGAGTACATTGATAATGTTGATTGAGGAATGAGGAATGTTAAGTTGGAAATGTATAAGATGAAATTAGAGGTTTACAGGATTGAAGATGTGGAAAGAAGACTATCTCAGTAGATCAGTTAGCGCTCCATGTGACCAGTGACAAGCTTGGGGTTCATCTGTATGAAGATGGATGAAGAAGATTGAAGTTCTTTTATTTTGATATATTCATTTGAATATATTGTAATATCCATGTAACTTAGTAATGGTCATGTATCTTTGTATTTGTGGGGATGATGTCATTATGGTTACAATTCATTTATATGGATGTTTTTCTTGGTAGCATGTCTAAGATGATGGTTCAGTTATCTAGCATAGTTAAGAATCGAATCATATATGTATAATACTGATTGGAGAACATTTGATTTTATGTGAATTTTATGTGAAGTGTTGGGGGTTAAGTAATGTTATATTTAATGAATTGTTACTTACCATAGACATAAAAAAAGATGGATTGATATGATGAGGATATGGGGCCATTTCATATGAATGTGTAACTAGTTTAAAGTTAGTAGAGAGAAGTGGTTCTGGGTGACTCTAAGTCTGGGGTAGTAAATTCCAATCTGTCCAAGGAAGATAGTGGGGTTTATATTAGAATGATGTACGGAGGAAACGTCCTGCTTGGGGGTAAGAGGTCATGACATAGAAGGGGTAGTGCTCATTGACGATGGCCAGATGTGGTTGAGGAAATGTGTAACCAAGAGTATAAAAGATGTGAGATTTGTGGATGTGGGCAGTTCACCTGACAAGGGGGCAAGGCTATGTCTGTTTGTTAGATGAACCCACAGGCTCGTAATCAAATAAATACTTGGTAAAATCACCACAGAATGTCTAAGTAAATTCTTGCATATTGAACTTCTCAATACAAGAAACTCATCATAACACAATTCAACGGCTAGGACACAAGACGTATGTGGCAGGGTCTACAGACAATCACGGACTACAAAAGGAAAACCAGCCACGTCGCCGACACCGACGTCTCGCTTCCAGACAAGCTAAACACCTTCTTCGCCCGCTTTGAGGATAACACAGTGCCATCGACGAGGCTCACTACCAAGGACTGTGGCCTCTCCTTCTCTGTGGCCGACGTGAGTAAGACATTTAAGCTTGTTAACCCCCGCAAGGCTGCCGGCCCAGACGGCATCCCTAGCCGCGTCCTCAGAGCATGCGCAGACAAGCTGGCTTGTGTGTTTACGGACATATTCAATCTCTCCCTTTCCCAGTGTGCTGTTTACACATGCTTCAAGATGGCCACCATTGTTCCTGTACCCAAGAAAGCAAAGGTAACTGAACTAAATACTATCGCCCTGTAGCACTCACTTCTGTCATCATGAAGTGCTTTGAGAGACTAGTCAAGGATCATATCACCTCTACCTTACCTGTCACCCTAGACCCACTTCAATTTGCTTACCGCACCAATAGATCCACAGACGAGGCAATCGCCATCACACTGCCCTATCCCATCTGGACAAGATGAATACCTATGTAAGAATGCTGTTCATTGACTATAGCTCAGCATTCAACACCATAGTACCCTCCAAGCTCATCATTAAGCTTGAGGCTCTGGGTCTGAACCCCGCCCTGTGCAACTGGGTCCTGGACTTCCTGACGGGCCGCCCCCAGGTGGTGAAGGTAGGAAACAACATCTCCACTTCGCTGATCCTCAACACTGGGGCCCCACAAGGGTGCGTGCTCAGCCCCCTCCTGTACTCCCTGTTCACCCATGACTGCGTGGCCAAGCACGCGTCCAACTCAATCATCAAGTTTGCAAACGACACAACAGTAGTAGGCTTGATTACCAACAATGACGAGACCGCCTACAGGGAGGAGGGGAGGGCTCTGGGAGTGTGGTGCCAGGAAAATAACCTCTCACTCAACTTCAACAAAACAAAGGAGATGATCGTGGACTTCAGGAAACAGCAGAGGGTGCCCCCCTATCCACATCGACGGGACCTCAGTGGAGAAGAAGGAAAGCTTCAAGTTTCTTGGCGTACACATCACTGACAAACTGAAATGGTCCACCCATGCAGACAGTGTGGTGAAGAAGGCGCAACAGAGCCTCTTCAACCTCAGGAGGCTGAAGAAATTTGGCTTGGCACCTAAAACCCTCACAAACTTTTACAAATGCACAATTCAGAGCATCCTGTCGGGCTGTATCCCCTCCTGGTACGGCAACTGCACCGCCCGCAACCGCAGGGCTCTCCAGAGGGTGGTGCGGTCTGCCGAACGCATTACCGGGGGAAAACTACCCGCCCTCCAAGACACCTACACACCCGATGTCACAGGAAGGCCAAAAAGATAATCAAGGACATCAACCACCTGAGCCACTGCCTGTTCACCCCGCTATCACCTAGAAGGCGAGGTTAGTACAGTGCATCAAAGATGGGACAGAGAGAATGAAAAACAGCTTCTATCTCAAGGCCATCAAACTGTTAAATAGCCATCACTAGCACATTAGAGGCTGCTGCTGCCTATTGAAATCAATGGCCACTTTAAGAAATGGAACACTAGTCACTTTAATAATGTTTACATATCTTGACCTACTCATCTCATATGTATATACTGTATTCTATTCTATAATATTATACTGTATCGTAGTCCATACCGCTCTGTCATTGCTTGTCTATATATGTATATATTCTTAAATTCCATTCCTTACTAGATTTGTGTGTATTGGGTATATGTTGTGAAATTGTTAGATATTACTTGTTAGATATTACTGCACTGTCGGAGCTAGAAGCACAAGCATTTCGCTACACCCACAATAACATCTGCTAAACACGTGTATGTGACAAATACAATTTGATTTGATTTGACATATTATTGATTTCAAAATTTTTCATTTTCAACAAAAATGCACTGGATTGGTTGGAAAGTGAAACTAAACTTCCATACCATGCACAATTTTGACATAGTGGAAGGTACATACTGAATTTCTACTGTTTTTCATACTAAGATATACCAAGATATGTGTTGCTTTTGCACATACTGCATTGGTTTTGCAAGAGTCGTGTGTTCATTGGTTTTGCAATATGTTGCCATTGATTAAAAGAGTAAGAACAGCATGCAATGTCCAACCCAAAATATAAGCTTGTTTGTAAACAATATAATTGTAAAAAAAAAAAAAAAATGTTGGTTGCACAAATAATGATTACTAAATGTTACATGAAATGTTAATATCAAAACCTAATGGAAACCCTTTTGTTAATATGTATTGTATCAAAATGTGAAGTATGAGTAGGTATGATGATTTGAGTCATCCTTCTTCAGTAGTGGAATAGAAAGACAACTATCACTTGAATATTGTAAAGAAATAATGTGTGTAAATACTGGAGTGATGTATGAATGTTAATTAAAAATTTCATAGACCAGTTTTTTTATACTGTGTCCATGTGTATAGGCTGCAAGTACATTGAAATTAAGTTGTTTTGAAGTCATTGAAACAACAACATGAAAAATTCTTTTTTTTTCAACTTTAAACCGAAACCGAACGTAGAAAGACGTCTTTGTAGAGTTGTCTTATCATCCACCTGAAAAATACAGATTTTCTACTTTCACATTCAACCAAAACCGAACATAGATTGGATGTGGGGCATAGTCGTGTTTTCAACATTTTGCTCGGTGTGTTTCTTGTGTTTGGTCCAGACTGTGTTCTCACCTGCAGGGAACCGCACCATTGTAGGAATGGAATGGGACCGACACCACCCCTTTTGAGCGAGCCACAATGCGTTTTTTTGTGCGCTCCCGAGTGTGGATACAGTGTTCACACCAGTCCAAACATACCGACCTAAGGGGGGAAATGCGCCAGAGTTAGGAAAAACCGCTCCAAACCAATTTGGTGCGAAAGACCCCTAATTTTCTGGTTAGGTAATTCTACTGCAGTTGACACATTAGGCTACTGGTTCCACAGTCCCTACTGCAATTGGAAGTTCTATTCCCATGCACAAATGGGACAACTTTGACATGTCTGAGAAGGGCATGTGGGAGAGTCTGTCAAATAGAATGAACTTTAAATGCTTTGTCAGACAGAAAAGGAGTCTGACTAGGCTACTCCAAAGAGGATGTATGTGTCAGCTGACTGCACTCACCCTATTTCGGGGGTTTGAGCAAGGAACACTTCAGAGGGCAAGCAAACAGTGGATTTGATGTGACTAGCTTACAAGTAGGCGACTTCTTGTATGCTTTTGTAGTATACCTGCCATTAGAAGGCATTCTAGGATAACTACTAGCCTACCTTTGACCTACTGCCTGGCATGCTGCTAATAGTTTAAACTGATCACAGCACGATGGCTGTGCAACCAAATCCAGAACGCAACCGGTTTGTCACATGACTGTGCTCATCATGAGTTTATTTCCGCGTTCATTCGGGACTGAATGAAAGAGAGAGGGGCGCATATCTGAACCTTTGCCGTCCACAAAACGCGCCGCAGAGCCAAGGTGATATTCGGGGCAAGGGGACCCGCACATTACCATCGCTCGGACACACGCTGCGGCAAGAACATGCTCACACGGGTGAAATCAGCTGTGGCCAATTTTATGGGCGGTATGATGGCTGGCAGTTCAAACGGTGACCATTTCGGTGGCTCGGATTTACCACTGAAATACCCGTACACAAGACCGGAGTTTCTGGGACTGTCACCGGATGAAATCGAGTGCTCGGCGGATCATATTGCTCGGCCGATCCTCATTCTGAAAGAGACGAAGAGGCTGCCATGGGCCACTGGTTATGCAGAGTAAGTATGCGTCCATCTTTAAGTCGTAGCAGGCTATAGCATCAGCAGCATTTAAAGAGGGAGGTTCAGCACGCTCCCTGGACCAGAGGAAGAAGCATAAACATATTATTTATTGTGCGCCATTTATTTCCATGTGAATAGGCTATACCAAGGATGGGCAACTCCAGTCCTCGGGGCCTGATTGGCCTCACACTTTTGCCTCAGCCCCAGTTAACACACCTGATTTCAATAATCAACTAATCATCAGTTTAGAATGTAATTACTTTAATCAGCTATGTTTGCTAGGGATGGGGAATTGGGGTTAAAAGTGACACCACTCCGGCCCCCGAGGACTGGAGTTGCCCGTCACTGGGTTATACGGTCTGTCATCGTAGCTTCTATCTTGCTAGTGGGTGCAAAGGTTGCCCCTTGATGTCTGAAACGCAAACAGAGATAAACACGGTTGTATTTAGGCTACTAAATGACATTTCATGGAAATTCCAGTCTTATGCCCTAACAACAACAGTAACCAACAACAGAAAGGTGCATTAGTATCCTATTGTTATAGCATTTACCCATACCATACTTGATGTCTACTACACCACCTAGGCCTACAAAATACTAATGCATGCCATTGTGCATCATGGCTCAAATATTATGATAGATATAGTGCAACTAGTAGTCGTTTCAGTACCATGAGTTAGGCCTACATGTGGACTATAATGGCATTGTAGCTATGATATTTGTGGTCCTCTGTAGCTCAGCTGGTAGAGCACGGCGCTTGTAACGCCAAGGTAGTGGGTTCGATCCCCGGGACCACCCATACACAAAAATGTATGCACGCACGACTGTAAGTCGCTTTGGATAAAAGCGTCTGCTAAATGGCATATTATTATTATTATTATTATTATTATATTTGCTTATTCAATATTTGCTTTGTCATGCTATATATCATTGTGTCTGTCAGGGAATGATGGATTATCACTTCCCTTTACAGTTTCATTATTTATGCATGCCCTATTTCTAGTGCATGTGCAGATTCTATCACTGTGTTGTGGATAGTTTATTGAGGACATGGGTTTGTAAACACTTTCCTTTGCACACACTGTTAAACCACACTGTAAAAGTAACAGTTACTGCTGCCGATTGACTTATGAAAAAGCTAACTTGTTCACAGTGCTTCAATGAAGAGAGCAGTCCGTGCTGATAATAAAAAAATAAAATAAAAGAAACATCATGAAATGTTTTTACTATTTCAAATGCCAATGAAATGCTTATTGTATGGAGGAGAAGGCATGGAGGATAACTTGAAACATACTTTATAAGCATGTCATTCTTCTGAAGCAGCTATATTTGACATTGATTGGCGAAGGACACTGCTGTATTATACCCACCTAAATGAGACATTATAATGTGTTCACAGAGAGACAGGTGTGGATTGTGCCAGGATGGGAAGTGGAAAAAATGCTTTGTTGAAAGTCTTTTCTGTTCCCTGTCGGCCATTAAATACTTGTCTATTTTCCTCAAGCTTAATCTGTCTATCGATCCTGCTCAGTTTTCCGTTTCTTAGTCATTTCTCAGCTCTGGTACTGACATATCACACTGATAATAGGATACATTTAGCAATTTGCTATACAAGTATACAGTGTGCAGGAAGGAGCTCTCTCGCTCTGCATCTGATGTTACAACTCCCGTGTCTTGACGATGAACCCAATTTAGTTATGCAAATGCTTCTCCATCTCAAGTTGGACACTGGCACAAATCCACCTCAATGTCACAACTGAGCATAACATTTTCTCCCAGTGCAGCAAATTACAAGATACTGCCTAACATGTTACATTTTAGTCATTTAGCAGACGCTCTTATCCATAGCAATTAGGGTTAAGTGCCTTGCTTGAGGGCACATCAACAGATTTTTCACCTAGTCGGCTTGGGGATTCGAACCAGTGACCTTTTGGTTACTGGCCCAACACTCTTAAACGCTAGGCTACCTGCCGCACAGGATAGTCATGGTTTGAACTTCAAAGTACAAAAAGGTTTCATATTGTGGCTGCTGTGTTCCTCTAAACAACACTAAAACACCTCCCGGTCTGCATCCCTCCACCGTGGGATGTTGAGAGTGACTTGTCTGTGCACTCCCTCAGGCTTCAATCACAAGAATGAAAAAAGGACTAGCAGTCTATATTTGGACAACCATGGTCATTCAGCACCTGCTCAGCATGCATGCAGCACAGCACCAGATTGCACGCCACTCTGAAAATTAAAGCAATCTAGTCCCTGTGAGGCTATGCCTAAAATGCTTCTGCCAGCTGTCTGTGTAGGGATGGCACTGCTACACTGCTGTGGATTTGTCAACAGCTGGTTGACCATCAGGCTCTGTTGTTGTGATGAGATCTGTCCCCTCCCTCCCCTCTCAGCCGGCAGCCAGGCCCATATTAAAGATGATGTGATCTCCACTGAGAACAGTGTCCCGTGCCAAGGAATCTCCCTCTTAACTGTGATATAACATAGTCAGAGGCTGCGTTATAAGAGCTGGGCTCGGGCTGTTGTATTTCACAGATTGACCATGGGTGGTGGAAGAATAGAAGTGGTATTGCAGCAGTCTGAACTACAGCATTCCTCCCCTGACCTGGCCGCTTCGCACACTTTCTCCTGGTCTGCTGTCAGGTCCTGTGAGCGCCAACATTTCAGAAGGGCAGAGAGTCCTGCTCTCTATGTCCCCACCTCTTTTTCTCTCTTTCTCTTACTCATGCTCCCCTCCGTAGGCCTACATGAAGTCTACTCACCCCCTTATATGACTTTGTCTATCTGTCGCTGTCTCTCTCTGTCCCTCCCTCCCACTTCCTGTCCTGCAGCTACATAGCACTCATGAACTGAATGGAAGAGGATCAATACATCAGTCAATATGTGTGTCTGTTTGTAGAATGAACACTGCTATTGTGATGACTGGAGGGTGGCAGACGTGCATTTCTAAAGGAATGTCACAGATGTACACATGCACATCACTGTACACACTTGGATAGTGGATGGGCAATCACATGATGTAGTAGCACGTTTCTCTTTCTTTCTTGTAAGAGGGCTAGTAACAGGGTAGATGTCCACAAGGAAATGAGAGCAGTTTCAGTTCATTTTATCCACCATACACGGTGACCGTCATACACAGGAACTGGATCAGTGTCATATGTTCTCTTCTCCTAATACAATGGTTTGAGTGTGATTTGAATGTGATCCACTCACTTTCTTTGGTTTAGAATATTCAATCAGTTGTGCCTTTGTCATAAATAGATCCTGACAATGTAATCAGAATGTAAGAGATGGAACTCAATGGAAAGGCCATGGAAACACGTGGGTGGAAAGATCCAGAATCTCCTCATTGCCCCCAGCAAAATGGGCCTACATTTAGGTTGTTGTTTATGTGTATTTCACACTGTTGAGGTAAAAGTCGGAGTATAATGTTTGTATGGATGTCAACCCCAATACATGTTAATGTCATCACCAATCAACTGCATTACATTTAAAAATGACTGACTACCACCACTGATTTCTCTATGCTAGCTATGCTACCAGCTTATATGAACGGGAGTTAGCAATTAGCAGTCACTTCTTCTAAACTTGAAAAGGGACCACTTCTAAATCAGGGATGGGAAACTTCAGTCCTCAGGGGACTGATTGGTGTCACACTTTTGCCCCAGCTAACACACCTGACTCGAATGATCAACTAATCATGATCTTCAGTTTAGAATGCAATTAGTTTAATCAGCTGTGTTTGCTAGGGATGTTGAAAAGGTGACACCTCTCCAGCCCCAGAGGACTGGAGTTGCCCATCCCTGTTCTAAATCTTATACATTGAAAACAGCCAAATATATCAACATCTGACTTTATTAATTACATTGTGGGCCTGTTACAATACATCAATCTTGACGGATTTGACGAATATCCACTTTGATAGATCAGATTTGTTGAATGTGCACCAATCCGGCATATGCTTGGGTGGTATACCGGGGTATTTGGAAATGGCCACGGGATGGTTTTTCAATACATTTTAATATTTGTAGAAAGCGGGAGCAGGTGAGTCCAGCTGTATATTGATGTTTTATATTGAAAGTCGTGTATATATATATTTTTTTCAATAGAGTGATCAGGGGCGTTCAACTACAGTTTTCCTTCACAGAAAATACATTAGTGCAACACATTTAATTTTTTTATGGAATATCTACATAGGTGTACAGAGGCCCATTATCAGCAACCATCAGTCCTGTGTTCCAATGGCACATTGTGTTTGCTAATCCAAGTTTATCATTTTAAAGGCTAATTGATCATTACAAAACCCTTTTGCAATTATGTTAGCACAGCTGAAAACTGTTGTGCTGATTAAAGAAGCAATAAAACTGGCCTTCTTGAGACTAGTTGAGTATCTGGAGCATCAGCAATTATGGGTTCGATTACAGGATCAAAATGGCCAGAAACAAATAACTTTCTTCTGAGACTCGTCAGTCTATTCTTGTTCTGAGAAATGAAAGCTATTCCATGCGAGCAATTGCCAAGAAACTGAAGATCTCGTACAACGCTGTGTACTATTCCCTTCACAGAACAGCGCAAACTGTCTCTAACCAGAATAGAAAGAGGAGTGGGAGGCCCCGGTGCACAGCTGAGCAAGAGGACAAATACATTAGTGTCTAGTTTGAGAAACAGACGCCTCACAGGTCCTCAACTGGCAGCTTCATTAAATTGTACCCGCAAAACACCAGTCTCAACGTCAACAGTGAAGAGGTGACTCTGGGATGCTGACCTTCTAGGCAGAGTTGCAAAGAAAAAGCCATATCTCAGACTGCCCATCTTAATCTTTTATTTTTATTGGCCAGTCTGAGATATGGCTTTTTGTTTGCAACTCTGCCTAGAAGGTCAGCATCCCGGAGTCGCTCCTCTGAGCCTGCAGCGTACACATGCTGCTTCAGAGCTAGTACAGTTCTTCCTTCAAACAAGCATGCATCAACTTTGTTCATTTGCACAATGTCTCTCATTCACATTCACTTGTAAATGTCTAAACTCACCAAAAATGACTTTCGGTTGCTCTTACCTATATATGTCTAACTTTAATTTGTTTTTATTTTCGTTTGGCTCTTTAGCATATTTAGCTAGGCGCCCCCTTGTGTACTAAGCCAGTAATACCGTAAATCCAGGAATGAGAGAAGGACGGTATGACGATATGAAAATCTGGATACCTCCCAACCCTAATCTGGCATCCTTCTATCTCCCACGGTCTACGTTCCATGGACCTCTTTACCGCGTCTATAAGAGAGGACTTATATTCAATAAGAGCTGTCTATTCTTATTAATGATCAAGGTCTGCTTGTGAAGTAAGATTACTGGTGATGAGAGAATCATACTTCTCCTCAGATGCACATTTTAGAATGAGGGCTGTTGATTTGCTGTTGTCTGCACTGTGCTGGCTTTGTTCTGACAATGACTGTGATTACACAATAATCACCCTTCACATGCACATTGGTTGTATTATTCTAGTGCCTAACTGTCAAGGCCGAGCATCACTGGCTACGTTCCCATATCCGCACTAGTGCACCACTTAGCAGTGTCCAATACATTGATTTGTTTCGAAGTGTGGACTGTGGATATTGGAACAGAGCCACTGTCCCATTATTAGGACCAGGCAAAAGGACACAATGACGGTTCCAAATGCATTCGGGTCTATTAAGGTCAGACAGAGTAAGTGAGGCCCAAATGTAGAGGAAGTGGAACGAGGTAACCAACCGAATACAACAGTCACTTTCTCAGAAGACATAGGACGTACAGTGGGGAGAACAAGTATTTGATACACTGCCGATTTTGCAGGTTTTCCTACTTACAAAGCATGTAGAGGTCTGTAATTTTTTATCATAGGTACACTTCAACTGTGAGAGACGGAAACTAAAACAAAAATCCAGAAAATCACATTGTATGATTTTTAAGTAATTCATTTGCAAAATCGGCAGTGTATCAAATATTGTCCTCCCCACTGTACATGCCAGGCGGTGTCTGAGAAAGGGCCGAAAAATTACCAAAGACTCCAGCCACCCGAGACATGGACTGTTCTCCATGCTCCTGTCCGGCAGGCGGTACCGGTGCATCAAAGCCAAGGCTCAGACCAACAGACACCTAAATAGCTTCTATCCCCTGGCCATAAGACTGTTAAATGGCTAACAACTACTGCTCTCCCTCTCCCACAGTCTATCCACACTGACTGACTCTACTATGCCTATCCACAGGTCGCTACCCACTCAGACACAACCTACACTGCTGCTAAAATGATTATTGATTAGATGTATTACTCCATTACGTTGCTGTCCATTGATTATTGATTGCCATTACCATTCGTTTTTAACTATTTATCCTGCTACTGGTCACTATTATGCCTGTTTACATGTATATATTACCATTTAGTATATTACCATCAATATTTATATATTCCTGTTCCTAGTCACTTTTCAGCACTGTTTATATGTATATCCTACTACCAGTCACTTTTTATGTATAAACCCACCTCAACCTCTCCAGTACCCCTGCACATTGAGTTTCTCCTGTTTCTTGTTTTTTCTTCTTCTTCGAAAGATCTCTCAAGGTAAAAATGTTGCTACTGTTTTACACCTGTTGTATCCTGTGCACGTGGAAAATAAACTTTGAAACTTGAAACTCGTCATTCCTTAGGCCAGGGCATGGCTGCCCATTCCACTCAGATCAGAGATTAAAGACTTCTTAACGCTCAAGTGTAACACTTGTGGTGGTCGGGGTTCCGGCTCAGTGGCTCAGCCTCCTTAGCTCAGCCTCAGACAGTCTGGGCTCAAACACAAAGGGATCATTCATTTACCGTATCCTCTCTATTCCTCTATGGGAAACTCTGCTGAGGTGGATGTCAATTTGTATCACCTGGCTGGCCTGCTACCATGGAAACAAAGAAAGTCTCCTCAGTAAGGACAATAAGGACAGTTTCTGGTTAAACTAATTTTCAGACTAATGTAAGGTTAAGCCTTTATTGCAAGTCTCAGACCAGTGTCACTTTGATAATAATAATAATACGCCATTTAGCAGACGCTTTTATCCAAAGCGACTTACAGTCATGCGTGCATACATTTTTTTTTTTGTGTGTATGGGTGGTCCCGGGGATCGAACCCACTACCTTGGCGTTACAAGCGCCGTGCTCTACCAGCTGAGCTACAGAGGACCAGATAAAGGTGTTGGGTGAGTTTCAGTGTGATACAGGTGTTTAGCAAACACTTAAATCCTACACTGTATATGGCCCATACAATAATTAAAACATTGAACAGCTCTGCACACCAACTGAGCTATTCAAACCTAGTATCATGGGCTCTAACAAACTGGTAACTTGCCCAGTATGGTTTAAAATGGCACTGGAAGAAAGGAAATGGACTGGATAGCTAGGATATTTGCTTCAGAGGTAGGATGAATATTTTAAACCTAATCACTTTGCTCCTATACTGTTTGGTGCTCTTCACCTTTTTAAGTTGGGTGCACTAGTGCTTACCAATGAAAACAGTTAATTAGACCACTATCACTTTTCTACAGGTCTGTTGCCAATGTGAGGGCTCTATGATTGAGTCTATAGGGTCCTGGAAGATCACCCATTGTGTAAGCCTTACAAGGAGACCAATTATCAGTGATCTGACTGTGTGAACTTCAGCTTCTCTTCCTGCCAATATCCTGTTCTCTCCAGTATGTCTGTACTCAGCTGTGTACTTAGCTGGAGACAAAAGATTGGTGCCCTGCTTTGTCCACCCTGTCTGTCAGTTCATTTCCTCATCATATAGATATACAGTGCCTTCGGAAAGTATTCAGACCCCTTGACTTTTTATTCTAAAATTGATTAAATAAATAAAAATCCTCAGCAATCTACACACAATACCCCATAATGACAATGCAAAACGTTATTTTTTATTTTTATTTTAGCAAATCTATTAAAGATAATAAACAAATACCTTTATTTACATAAGTATTCAGACCCTTTGCTATCACACTCGAAATTGAACTAAAGCCAGGCCATGAGGTCGAAGGAATTGTCCGTAGCGCTCCGAGACAGGATTGTGTCGAGGCACAGATCTGGGGAAGCATACCAAAACATTTCTGCAGCATTGAAGGTCCCCAAGAACACAGTGGCCTCCATCATTCTTAAATGGAAGAAGTTTGGAACCACCAAGACTCTTCCTAGAGCTGGCCACCCGGCTAAACTGAGCAATCGGGGGAGAAGGGCCTTGGTCAGGGATGTGACCAAGAACCCGATGGTCACTCTGACAGAGCTCTAGAGTTACTCTGTAGAGATGGGAGAAACTTCCAGAAGGCCAATCATCTCTGCAGCACTCCACCAATCAGGCCTTTATGGTAGAGTGGCCAGACGGAAGCCACTCCTCAGTAAAAGGCACATGACAGCCCGCTTGGAGTTTACCAAAAGGCACCTAAAGACTCTCAGACCATGAGAAACAAGATTCTCTGGTTTGATGAAACCAAGATTGAACTCTTTGGCCTGAATGCCAAGCGTCATGTCTGGAGGAAACCTGGCACCATCCCTATGGTGAAGCATGGTGGTGGCAGCATCATGCTGTGGGGATGCTTTTCAGTGGCAGGGACTGGGAGACTAGTCAGGATCTAGGGAAAGATTAACCGAGCAAATTACAGAGAGATCCTTGATGAAAACCTGCTCAGGACCTCAGACTGGGGCGAAGGTTCACCTTCCAACAGGACAATGACCCTAAGCACACAGCCAAGACAATGCAGGAGTGGCTTCGGGACAAGTCTCTGAATGTCCTTGAGTGGCCCAGCCAGAGCCCGGACTTGAACCCGATCGAACATCTCTGGAGAGACCTGAAAATAGCTGTGCAGCAACACTCCCCATCCAACCTGACAGAGCTTGAGAGGATCTGCAGAGAAGAATGGGAAAAACTCCCAAAATACAGGTGTGCCAAGCTTGTAGCGTCATACCCAAGAAGACTCGATGCTGTAATCGCTGCCAAAGGTGCTTCAGCAAAGTACTGAGTAAAGGGTCTGAATACTTATGTTAATGTCATATTTCCGTTTTTTTATTTGAATTAGATGTGCAAAAATGTTACATTGAAATCTGCTATACTTTTCCCACAGTGTGTGTCTGGTTCTGCTCCTCACATTCTTGTGCTCTTCTCTCCTTCTGCAGGGTGATCAATGCAGGGAAGAGCCATCTGAACGAGGACCAGGCATGCTGTGAGGTGGTGGTGGTGAGGAGGGGACCCAGTGCTGGGGGCAACTCCACCCCCAACAGGACCCCCACTACCCGGAGGAGGTCCTCCCTGCCCAACGGAGAGGGACTGGGGCTCAGGGAGAACGCTGTGAGCACCCCCCCAAACCCCCCCCCCCCCCCCCCCCCCACCCCACCCCCCCTCCCACCCCTCCAGACCTAGTCTTAACCCCTTGGGGGCTTTCCCCCCCATTCTGTCACATCAGGACCTGTAGACGCTTCTCTTCCCTAGCCTCACATCAGCCATAGTCTATTCCCCAGCATGTCCTATAAGCCTGGTAAACGAGAGTTTGTCAGGCTACAGAAATTAGTAGGCTAAAGTACTGCCTTTCAGCTACTGTAGTGGTCACCAACCTAACCCTTATTCCTCAGCCTCACATCAGTCCTAGGGTTCTATTTTCGACTGGCGTTAAGGCGGCGCTAGAGTCAAATGCACGTTAGTTTGCAATTCCGTCATGTAAAAACTGGCTCACTGGCATTTTCCAGCCCTAACGCCAGGTTCGGCAATTTACCTGTCTAACATCAGCAGGCTTGCGCTCAGATGAGAGGGGTGGAAATATTTGAGGCGTGTCCTTAAAAACATGATCCAAAGTGCTAATTTCAGACAGCGCTGGTAGGGATATTTAAGACCAACCAAAAGCTGGTTTTAGCGGTAACACAGTTGGTTATGGCATGAATTTTACAAAGGAAACCGTGACACACACTGCCCATATGCGCATGGAACAAGATCTGATTTGGTGCCTGTATACTTCGTATTTGGAAACAAACAATGTTTTTTCCACATTTATTTGTTTTATTTGATTAAAAACTAAGCATAGCCTCCCCTCCTCTCAATGAAGGCTGTTTTCTTTTTGTCCTGCCCAATGTAATCAAGTAGGCTAGTCAAGACCGTCGATAAAGTGTTTGGATCGTGAGACAGCTTGAAAATACATCTTAATCACCAAAGTTTTATTAAAATATCAAGTTTGAGAGGAGCAAAACGGTGAGCTGACATTTTTCCTTTTTAATCTATGTATTGTAGGCAGGCCGACATTATTTTAGCCATGCTTTGGACGTGCTTAAAACCCCCTCCATGATGTAGGCTACATGTGTCCATGCCCATCATGAAATGAGAGATGTGAATCTTCATAACAATTGTTTGTTTTCTGTTTCATATGTTTTAAACCCTAGCCCTCTATAGGCTACCCTTACCCTAGGCCTACTATAACGAAGGCTGGGTCAACAGCAATGCGTTGTCTTTTTTTTTATGCTGGCGATTTTATGATATCATTACATTTTACATGTATATATTGTTGTTGAAAAAGGAACAGATTGCTTGTTTTTCGTTGAATCTTATTAAAACCAAACTTATTTGAATGATTCACTGTCCTGGTTTTATGGTGAGAATGTCCGTGCCACGCATGCATTGCAACTTCTGGAGAAGTGTGAATGCGATCTGTAAGATGGTTCCAATATGTATATAAAAATGTATATTTAGGAGCAGTATAACTGTGAGTGGACATTCTCACTTTGTCTTTATATTGGTTCTTTGTCCAGCTACTGTGAAAGGATTGGATGTGTGTAAAACCCTCCATAGTCTGCGTTGTTTTAATATTATATGCCCACGGGAAGCAATTATGGTGCCTGTAAGTGTATTTAGACACAACCTATTTAAAACAAGTTGTTTTGTTTAGAATCACTCTCTTTTTAGTGAATTTAATCTTGCTTATTGACAACATTTGGCATGTCCATGCTCAGCCATAATGCAATTTACAGTAGGCCTAGCCCCTATATCAGTGTGAATGCTATGTATATCTTTCCACATTGAAGCCATGCATTACATACAACAATGTGGGCTGCAAACAGGTTCAAGTTAACATATTTAGCAAAGATTTTGCTTAATGTTGTTATTTTGTTCTGTAAGCTGTTTAACAAACTATAACGGACAAACATGGGAATTGGAGTTGATTCCAAGGCAATACATAAAATACCGTAAATACACAACTTGAAACAACCACATATTTAGCCATGGAGCATGTTCTGATTCGCCAGTGAGTGGCCAAGCAATCCTCGACACACCCACAACTTGTTTATTAATCAAAACCCAGCCCTTTCACACCAACGCCAGCAACTGCTCAGATAACTGTGGTTGTGAAAATAGCAAAAATAATTCTGCTCCCCCCCCCGAACCTATAGCGCTACTGCCACTGCTTAGATTTACCATTGCTTTAGGTTTGTTAAAATAGAGGCCATAGTCTTACCCAGCCTGGCATATAAGCCTGGCGCAAACAAGGCTAACTGAGGCTGCTGTCCTCTGCCTTCCAGCTACAGCAGTGTTCACTAACCCTGGTTCTGAATAGAGCTGCAGGGTGTGGTGTGCACCGTTTTGAGATTCCTTCCAGCCCAGCACTAATACACAGGGCGTGTTTACTGTTATTTTAGCCCAGAGCTAACACACTTGACCATCAGTAGCGATGCGTGGGTACAATCACTGGGGAAACCAAGCTGGGAAAAAAATGTTGTGATAATTGCGTTGTTCGCTCTATACCTTGTTAGTTCATATGCCTTGCCACCGTGATATATAAACCTAAGGCCGAGACAATAAGAAGACACAGTGGCAGAATAAATTCAACCTCACCTTTGTTTCATCACAAAACCGGAGAGCAACATCTGTCCGGTGGAGTTCACAAAGCATATTGCATGTAACAAACAGTTACATGACCTACAGCATTGTCAATGAAGTTAATGTTTCCAACATTTTGGGACTACTAAACAACTATTGACTTATAACACCGGAGAGTTACCACAAGTCGCAAAGAAAACAGGAGCTTCCTCCACTATTCCAGCACCAGTTCAACTTCAACATTTCAACGTCATCAAATCACCTATGCTTAGTCTAATACAGTGACAACTAAAATATTCAAAAAATGATTTATTCCAATCAATGTAAGCTAAATATCATGTGGCTGTCCATGGTACTTGTGTGTGTGTGTGTATGTGCGCGTAAGTAGAAAAAAACTTGTAGAGAAACGCCAATGCCATCCTCGCTTTCATATAATATAAATAATAATATTATAATAATGTTGCTGAAATGGTTTAAGACTGTCATACAGTACACGCTTTTAGTTTTTGTTGGCCTAGGCTACCTGGCTAAAATGCTTGCTCTCTAGCCTAACTTCCTTTCATGGGCAATGATTAGCCAGCTAGTTAACATTAGCCTACTAAATCTAGCTACATATTGAACTTCCATCCTCTCAGGTCAGGGACACAATGTATGAATATATGGTTGAATCAGAATTGCCATTTTAACCAGTACGGAGAATTAAGTAAAACCACAAGTCCAAATCCATCCATGGCTAATTTAGGAAAGGGCCAACTCCAGCTAGCTAGCTAGCCACCGGAGGACAACAACGAGATGCAACAATTCAAGTTTTTTTTATGTCAGTGATGTTTGACTTTTGACGTGATGTGATTGGTGTTAAGCCAAATCCAAACTGTCTTCCCTTGACACTTTATATTTTTATTTTTATTTTTTATTTTTTGGTGCTCCCGGACCATTCACAGTTGACCTCACTCAGTTTAGCTCAACGCTGATTGGCTATTATTGTATATTTGTTTTATCAAGGGAGGCCAAATGCTCGCTGGCTTCCCTTGCATTCAATGCTACAGGCGGCAACAATATCATACTCTTTTTGACCAGACAGCATCAGACAGATGGCCTACAGAGACAGAGGGGTGCTGTTTTGCTTGCTCTGATGCTTTGTCCGGTAAGATACATTCAGCCTCTTGCGAATTGAAGGAAAATTATGAAACACAGAGAGACGAAAGATAAATTGTTTAATGCTATTTATTCTTTTGTCATTTTTGGAGGGAAACCTGGCTTCCCTTGGCATCCATAAATACACACCACCGTTGACCTTATCAACTAATCTCCAACATTATGGTTAGCTGAATCAGGAGTGTGTTTGAAATTCACTGCTCGACTGAGGGACCTTACAATTATCTGTATGTGTGGGGTACAGAAATTAGGTAGTCATTCAAAATCATGTTAAACACTATTATTGCACATATGCAAATTATTATGTAACTTGTTAAGCACATTTTTACTCCTGAACTTATTTAGGCTTGCCATAACAAAGGGGTTGAATACTTATTAACTCAAGACATTTCAGCTTTTCATAACCCCTCTGCTGTTATTTTAGCCTCCTCTCCCACACAACCCTCCCCCTTTGTACTCAGGCCCACTGAAAGCCTACACCAACATACACCTACACAAGTACCCCATTACTCACTTCAGCAGTGAAATTATACCAGTATGAAGTACTGTTTTTGGCTTGCTCAATGAGTGATTCCTACTGAAAACCAGACAAAAAAAAGACTGATTTTAGGGATTTTCACTAAATGTAATCCATAGACTAGTCCTTTGGAGGAAGGATTGTTGACATACACTGAGTGTACAAAACATTACATTTACATTTACGTCATTTAGCAGACGCTCTTATCCAGAGCGACTTACAAATTGGTGCATTCACCTTTACTTTATCCTATCCCAGGTTTTCCTTAAAGAGGTGGGGTTTCAAGTGTCTCCGGAAGGTGGTGAGTGACTCCGCTGTCCTGGCGTCGTGAGGGAGCTTGTTCCACCATTGGGTTGCCAGAGCAGCGAACAGTTTTGACTGGGCTGAGCGGGAACTGTGCTTCCGCAGAGGTAGGGGGGCCAGCAGGCCAGAGGTGGATGAACGCAATGCCCTCATTTGGGTGTAGGGACTGACCAGAGCCTGAAGGTACGGAGGTGCCGTTCCCCTCACAGCTCCGTAGGCAAGCACCATGGTCTTATAGCAGATGCGAGCTTCAACTGGAAGCCAGTGGAGTGTGCGGAGGAGCGGGGTGACGTGAGAGAACTTGGGAAGGTTGAACACCAGACGGGCTGCGGCATTCTGGATGACTTGTAGGGGTTTAATGGCACAGGCAGGGAGCCCAGCCAACAGCGAGTTGCAGTAATCCAGACGGGAGATGACAAGTGCCTGGATTAGGACCTGTGCCGCTTCCTGTGTAAGGCAGGGTCGTACTCTCCGAATGTTGTAGAGCATGAACCTACAGGATCGGGTCACCGCCTTGATGTTAGCGGAGAACGACAGGGTGTTGTCCAGGGTCACACCAAGGCTCTTCGCACTCTGGGAGGAGGACACAACGGAGTTGTCAACCGTGATGGCGAGATCATGGAACGGGCAGTCCTTCCCCGGGAGGAAGAGCAGCTCCGTCTTGCCGAGGTTCAGCTTGAGGTGGTGATCCGTCATCCACACTGATATGTCTGCCAGACATGCAGAGATGCGATTCGCCACCTGGTTATCAGAAGGGGGAAAGGAGAAGATTAGTTGTGTGTCGTCTGCGTACAGAGCCAAGTGACTTGGTGTATAGCGAGAATAGGAGAGGGCCTAGAACTGAGCCCTGGGGGACACCAGTGGTGAGAGCACGTGGTGCGGAGACAGCTTCTCGCCACGCCACTTGGTAGGAGCGACCGGTCAGGTAGGACGCAATCCAAGAGTGAGCCGCGCCGGAGATGCCCAGCTCGGAGAGGGTGGAGAGGAGGATCTGATGGTTCACAGTATCAAAGGCAGCAGACAGGTCTAGAAGGACAAGAGCAGAGGAGAGAGAGTTAGCTTTAGCAGTGCGGAGAGCCTCCGTGACACAGAGAAGAGCAGTCTCAGTTGAATGACCAGTCCTGAAACCTGACTGGTTTGGATCAAGAAGGTCATTCTGAGAGAGATAGCAAGAGAGTTGGCTAAAGACGGCACACTCAATAGTTTTGGAAAGAAAAGAAAGAAGGGATACTGGTCTGTAGTTGTTGACATCAGAGGGATCGAGTGTTGGTTTTTTGAGAAGGGGTGCAACTCTCACTCTCTTGAAGACGGAAGGGACATAGCCAGCGGTCAAGGATGAGTTGATCAGCGAGGTGAGGTAGGGGAGAAGGTCACCGGAGATGGTCTGGAGAAGAGAGGAGGGGATGGGGTCAAGCGGGCAGGTTGTTGGGCGGCCTGCAGTCACAAGTCGCGAGATTTTATCTGGAGAGAGAGGGGAGAAAGAAGTCAAAGCATAGGGTAGGGCAGTGTGAGCAGGACCAGCAGTGTCATTAGACTTAACAAACGAGGATCGGATGTCGTCAACCTTCTTTTCAAAGTGGTTGACGAAGTCATCCACAGAGAGGGAGGGGGGGGGGGGATTCAGCAGGGAGGAGAATGTGGCAAAGAGCTTCCTAGGGTTAGAGGCAGATGCTTGGAATTTAGAGTGGTAGAAAGTGGCCTTAGCAGCAGAAACATATGAAGAAAATGTAGAGAGGAGGGAGTGAAAAGATGCCAGGTCCGCAGGGAGTCTAGTTTTCTTCCATTTCCGCTCAGCTGCCCGGAGCTCTGTTCTGTGAGCTCGCAATGAGTCATCAAGCCACGGAGCTGGAGGGGAGGACCGAGCCGGCCGGGAGGATAGGGGACACAGAGAGTCAAAGGATGCAGAAAGGGAGGAGAGGAGGGTTGAGGAGGCAGAATCAGGAGATTGGAGGGAGAAGGATTGAGCAGAGGGAAGAGATGATAGGATGGAAGAGGAGAGAGTAGTGGGAGAGAGAGACCGAAGGTTGCGGCGGCGCATTACCATCTGTGTAGGGGCAGAGTGAGTAGTGTTGGAGGAGAGCGAGAGAGAAAAGGATACAAAGTAGTGGTCGGAGACATGGAGGGGAGTTGCAGTGAGATTAGTAGAAGAGCAGCATCTAGTAAAGATGAGGTCAAGCGTATTGCCTGCCTTGTGAGTAGGGGGGGGACGGTGAGAGGGTGAGGTCAAAAGAGGAGAGGAGTGGAAAGAAGGAGGCAGAGAGAAATGAGTCAAATGTAGACGTAGGGAGGTTGAAATCCCCCAAAACTGTGAGGGGTGAGCCATCCTCAGGAAAGGAACTTATCAAGGCGTCAAGCTCATTGATGAACTCTCCAAGGGAACCTGGAGGGCGATAGATGACAAGGATATTAAGCTTAAATGGGCTAGTGACTGTGACAGCATGGAATTCAAATGAGGAGATAGACAGATGGGTTAGGGGAAAAATTGAGAATGTCCACTTGGGAGAGATGAGGATTCCTGTGCCACCACCCCTCTGACCAGATGCTCTCGGGGTATGCGAGAACACATGGTCAGACGAGGATAGAGCAGTAGGAGTAGCAGTGTTTTCAGTGGTAATCCATGTTTCCGTCAGCGCCAGGAAGTCGAGGGACTGGAGGGTAGCATAGGCTGGGATGAAGTCAGCCTTGTTGGCAGCAGAACGGCAGTTCCAGAGGCTGCCTGAGACCTGGAACTCCAGGTGTGTGGTGCGTGCAGGGACCACCAGGTTAGAGAGGCAGCAGCCACGCGGTGTGAGGTGTTTGTGTAGCCTGTGCGGAGAGGAGAGAACAGGGATAGGCAGAGGCATAGTTGACAGGCTGTAGCAAATGGCTACAATAATGCAGAGGAGATCGGAATGAAATGAACTAAACATCTGGGAAAGGAGAGAGCGGGGCCTCCCTCACCACAACTCCCAAATATAACTCTCCCAACTTCCACCTCAGAAACTATAATTGTTTCACTGAAACACCCGAATAAAACTCTCCCAACTTCCACTTTAGAAATTAGAATTGTTGTAAACTACAGCGGTTCAATGTTTCAAGGAATAGACTCAACTTACTTTATTCAGCTAGCTAACTATGACGCCATAGCTAACTAGCATGCTAGCATCCAATAACACACGGTTTAGCACCAATACTTGGTTACAACAAACTACCAATAGTGTGTTAACACACTAAACAGATAATTTGTGTCCGTGTCTAGTTCCTTTCATAACGCAGCAATAATTAAACGTTGGCTAGCTAGCACAAAGATATTGTATTTAGCTGCTACAGTACTGCTAGCTGGTAGTGTTGGCTAGCTAGCAATGGCTGCTGTGTTGACTTTGTTTGAAAAACGGCGTCGCTGCGAATGAATGTAGCTGGCTAAAATTATATTGTATCTAGTTGCTATAGTACTGCTAGCTGGTAGCGTTGGCTAGCTAGCAATGGCTGCGGTGATGACTTTGTTTGAAAAACGGCGTCGCTGCGAACGAATGTAGCTGGCTAAAAGGATATTGTATTTAGTTGCTACAGTACTGCTAGCTGGTAGCTGGTAGTGTTGGCTAGCTAGCAATGGCTGCGGTGTTGACTTTGTTTGAAAAACGGCGTCGCTGCGAACGAATGTAGCTGGCTAGCTAACCTCGATAGTTACTCTATACTACACCTTTATCTTTGATACAAATACAACTATGTAGCTAGCCAACATTACACTAATCAATTCGTTCCATTGTAATGTAATGTGTCATATTACCTGCGGAGCGAAGTACAGCATGACTACTCACCTCGCCTGCCGGATACCATTACATATATATCCATAATGAATGAGTGATTCTGGGGGGTATCTAGCACTGCCTCTTTGCCTCAGATTGGAAGCCTGTGTTTGGTATACTCGTGTATATTTGACATTTGTATCTGTACTGAACAAAAATATAAATGCAACATGTAAAGTGTTGGTCCCATGTTTCATGAGATCCCAGATAGATAGATTTCCATACGCACAAAAACGTTATTTCTCTCAAATTTTGTGCACAAATTTGTTTCCATCCCTGTTAGTGAGCATTTATCCTTTGCCAAGATAATCTGTCCACTTGACAGGTGTGGCATATCAAGAAGCAGATCAAACAGCATGATCATTATACAGGTGCCTCCTTGTACTGGGGACAATAAAAGGCCACTCTAAAACGTGCAGTTTTGTCACACAACACAATGCCCCAGATGTTTCAAGTTTTGCGCAATTGCAATTGGCATGCTGACGGCAGAAATGTCCACGAGCTGTTGCCAGATAATTTTATGTTAATTTAAACTGCCTCCAATGTCGTTTTAGAGAATTTGGCAGTACGTCCAACCGGCCTCACAACCGCAGACCACGTGTAACCTTTGAAATTCTAGCAAGTTATATTTATATTTTTGTTCAGTGTAAAATGCATAATGAGAAATAATTTATTGAAGTTGGTATATTTGTGACAATTTCGCCTTAACCAGGACTCCTTTAAGACTCCATAGTGTTTCATATGTAGGTGCTACTAAGCAAACATTGGTGTCATATGAAGCTTTAATGCTTGCTCTGTAATATGTGTAGTATTTAGATTAAAATGTATATATTTTTATGAATATTGAAATATTGAATTTGGCTAATTGTTTGTGTTTTGTTCTACTTATACTCCTGTGTGTGTCTGTGCGTGCCAGCTTTTAACATTGCAAAATGTGTGTGTCCGTGTTTGTGTGTCCAGGATGCAGAGCCCGGACTGACCTTCCACTACTGGGGGCTGTTTGACGGCCATGCTGGCTCAGGGGCAGCGGTGGTGGCATCTAAGCTGCTCCAGCACCACATCGTAGAACACCTCCAAGAGGTACTGGATGTCCTGAGGAACCCGGCCCTGCTGGTCCCCATCATCCAGGGGGAAGAGCCCACCAACCACCACCTCACCCCCACCACCCACAGGGGCATCACCAGGGCCGCCTCACTGCGGGGGGCCGCAGGGGCTCCCGGCTCCCCCAGTCACCCCCCCCCCACCAGGTTCTTCACAGAGAAGAAGGTCCATCATGAGAGCCTGGTGATGGGAGCCATCGAGAACGCCTTCAAAGAGATGGTGAGTTCATTGCCATGTTCAGTAGGCAAACATTGTGGAATGTTGCAGATAGCAATGTCATGAATAGAGTTGATGTGATTCCCTGTTCTACATCTCAGAGACAGGCATGTTTGTTGTGTATGATCTATTTCTCTCTGAACGTTCCACTATGTTGTGCCCTGGTGAATTCAGCCCTTGTCTGAAAGAACATACTAACCATCATCCAGTAATTACAACACATTCACTGTAAGAGACATCGCAGCGCTCCACTCATTCCCATCATTATCTGCTTAGTCGATAGGCATTGATCAGCGGCATCTTGTCAATTACATGTTTTTTTCTGATGATATGCAGTTGGCATACTGAGATCAACATCACAGTCCACTGGGCAGTGGGAATAGGACTAGTAAGCATTGTCTAAATGCAGCTTCCTTTTTTATTTCTAAGAATAACTGTCCGGTTGTTGTACATACTCTGCCTGTATGTCTGAAATAGGTTAATGTGTTATAACTCCAGGTTTGATTTGAATTAGCTCGATCTTTAGCTGTGTCTGCTTTCCTCAGCAGCTCCTTAGTACTGAGAGTTGAGTGGGCATTTAACAGCTGGCTGCCAGCGATAAGGCGACGTGTAGTGTAGCGTCGGCATATTGCCCCCCTCCCATTCTCTCTAATCCATTATCTGTGACTGTTCCTCTCAAATCAGCAGCATATGGTGCCAGTCAGTCCACAGCAGCATATATATACTTTTTCCCTTCTAACCCACAGGCCAAAAATTGTTCAGTGCTGCACACCATCTGGTTGTCGTGCTGTAAGAGGATGTGTGGACTTAGACTCAGCTCACTGAGCGGCCCAGTGGTCAGACACACAGCCAATCAAAAGAGTGTGCTCTTGACAGGCTTTGGTCAATGAGGGGTCAGAAAGGTCATGGGTTATTAGCCTCATTGTTTAATCTTGTTATTGAGGATTCTGGCTTTGGCTTCAAGATACATTTTGTCACTCGCTAAATGAGTCCGTTGTGTTTCCTATCTAGAGAGCTAAGAGAGAGTTCACCTCCTGGTGTCTAGTCCACTGATAAAATCTAAGTCTGAAATGCTGATCACTTAGAGTGCCAACTGCATTCTGGTCTCACGTGTTTCACACAATTTACAATAACTTGCATAACTTAAGACAAACCTGTGTACTGCAGCGGTAGCTGCTTCCTCTTCATCACCACTAGATGGCAGTGTGCAGTCATCCATTGAGTGAGTTAATGTAATTTTCCAAGTCTAGTGTCACTGTCAACCCAAGCTATCAACTGTAATAATGCACTATTTCCCATGCACCTGTGCACATTTCAGACTGTGTTGATGTTTAACGATTGTGTTATAATGAATGTGTGATATACAAGGATTGAAGATTAAACGTCTATATATAAATGCACAATTTCATCAAACAGCAGTACACTGTCATGCCGATACAGTTGAGTGCATGTCATGCAAATATTTGCCTTTGATCTAACAGCAGTCTGTTATAGAGAATGTCAAAAACCCTCACCATGATATTCCACAGTATATTCAGCTCATTCCTATACTTGATTTCATAATGTGATATAGCTGCTCTCTGCCTCTCTCGCTCTTCACTCTATTTCACAGGCACAAGGCAATCTGTATCCCTCTTCTCTCCCATAATTTTTTTGTTCCTCCTCCCTTCCCCTCATCCCCTCTGGCTCTTGTCTGGAGTTGAAGCACTTTCCTGTCCCTTTGTTCCCCGTCTCTTCGTTAATCCCGCTTCTTATTTTTAATTAACCTTATTCTCAAATGAAATCCGTCAAACGATTTGGGTGATGGTGGTGCATATTTCACACTAGTTTACCCCTCTTTTATCTTATCTGGGATAACCACCAACCACTGGCTCTGATTCTAGTTCTCAGGCTGACATGAATCACCACCACGGGCCGTTTCTGGAGGAGGCTGCCAGAGCCTAATAAACACAGAGATGTGTAAACATCAAAAAGAAACGTGGCTCACGATGGCAACACTGTTTACATTGAGAAGCACAGAAATAACTGGGGAAGATCCGATATTCAGCCTAGTCTCCCACCCTGTAAAGACATGTACTGTATATACCCGACTAAAGCTGCAGTCAAATGGACCTGTAATAGGGAGCGAACCATAATCCTAACTGTTGTCTTGCATTGACCTATTTTAGTCATTTAGCAGATGAGAGCGATTTAAAGTGTACTGCACTGTTGAGAGCTTGCAGTAAGCATTTCACTGTATCGTTTACACCCTGTATCCTGTGCATGTGACAAAGAAACCTTGATTAGATTTTATTACAGTTCATTCATCTTTAAGGTAGCTAGGTGAGACAACTACATATCACAGTCATTTAAATCCTCATTAAATCAGCGCTAGTAAGACAAGACGAGACAAGTGCGAGTGTTAGTGCAAGGAAGGCAAGGGTGATTTTTTTTGGGGTGAGGTGGGGGGGGGGGTTTGGGGTTTGGGTTGTTAATGCCGACATTTTCATTATTGAAGGCTTTCCTCCGTGCAGCCACGGGCGTTTGATAGCAGGATAAATATATATATATATATATATGCACTGCTACAGAGTCATAACTCACCCTGGGTGAAGGACACATTTTGTTCACCAAGTTCCCCCTCCCTAACACACACACGCATTCCTGAGCAATGTGTTTCTCCTCTAAGGCGACAGCAGTGGTGGGGGCAGGGTAGAGGGTGTCACTAGGGCCTGGTTACAGGAGAGTTACACACAAACACACACAGTTGTTTCATCAGATAGTTGATAGCCAACAGAAGAGCGCAAGGCAGAGTGGTCTAGCATGTGTAACCCCCCCCCCCCCCCCAAAGGACATCCAGCCAACTTGACACAACTGTGGGAAGCATTGGAGTCAACAAGGGCCAGCATCCCAGTGGAAAGCTTTCAACATCTTGTAGAGTCCCTGCCCTGACGAATTGAGGCTGTTCTGAGGGCAAAAGGGTGTGCAACTCAATATTAGGAAGGTGTTCCTAATGTTTTGTACACTCAGTGTATTTATGATGTGTTTGTTGTGTTGGGTTTTCAGGATGCCCAAATTGAGAGAGACAAGGCTGTGTTTAACGTCTCAGGAGGCTGTACCGCTCTGTGTGCACTCTTTTTACTCGGAAAGCTCTACATTGGAAATGCCGGGGACAGCAGGTGAGACACACAGACACACGTACACACTGAAATAAACACTCAACCAGTTTGAATAAACACAGATTGCTTTGCCCTTCAGAGCGATCATTATCCGAGGAGGAGAGGTCATCCCCATGTCTACAGAGTTCACACCTGAGTCAGAGAGGCAGCGCCTGCAGTTCCTGGTAAGAAGAGGAACTCGACAGACACTGTATCACAATGCAGGACCTCCCCTCCCTGTTCAGACATTCACTATGCTTAGCGTTCCTACCTGGTCTCTTTGCTGGTGTAATAACGCCCACAGTTCCTGGTAAGAGGAGGAACTCCACTACAACCCCCTGAATCACAGTGAACCTGGACTGTTCTCTGTCCCAGACCTGGGTTCAAATAGTATTTTAAATCATTTCAAATATTTTAGCTGGCCTTGATTGAGCCTGACTGGCACAATGGAACCAATAGACTGGTCAAAAAGTGCAAACCCCACTTATCTGGCACTCCAGGCAGAGCAGAGAAAACACTCAAAGTATTTTTAAGATTTCAAATAGTATTTGAACCCAGGTCTGCTCTGTTCTTATTGAGCACAGCTTTCACTTATCAAAAGACATGACCCCTTACTCTCTCTGTTCAGAGACAGTTACTAAGCTTAACTATTCTGCCTGGTGTCTGGGCTGGTTTAATTGACTGTTTGATTGTCTTCCTATCCCTTGGGCATGCCAATCTCTTCTCTCTTCTCTTTCTATGTGAAGGCCTACATGCAGCCACACCTGTTAGGGGGAGAGTTTACACATCTGGAGTTCCCCAGACGAGTACAGAGGAAGGAGGTGGGGAAGAGGATGCTCTATAGAGACTTCACTATGTCTGGCTGGTGGGTATCCATCTATCTATCTGTTTGATTACTGGTAATCAAGTAATGACAGGCCTTGGTCCTCTCATTGGAATAAGTTACAGACAGGTGCTGCATTGAGCGATTCATCATACCCCTCCATTTTACCATAATCATGAGATCCATAATCATGAGATAATCAAGATTAGGCATCTTTGCAGGATTTGTGATTGAAACGTCACAATTTCACAAGCAACTACGCTCCGCTATTGAAATCATGTCATTTTTCCGCAATCATTTTGTCTATCTGAACCCCCCATTCTTATCAATGTACAGAGTGCCAGCTGATTGACAGGAAATGCTCTGATAGACCCAGACATTCTGTGTCATCTGTATGAATGACAGGGTCAGTTCAGCTCATCAGTGATCCCTGGACAGAACTAGAGCCAATCACAGCTCCACAGCGTCTTTGATTCACTCCATAGAGAACTGAGGAGAGCAAGAGAGGGACAGACCAAGAAAGCGGTGATTAAGGGGAGATTTATCAGTGCTGGCTCTTTCTCAATGCGGTTCTGTCTGTGTACTGTTTAGATGTGCCGATGTAGGACAGGGCATTGCTGCTCATTGAGTCCAGAACTTGGAACAGAACTGATGTCTGATGTATTTTAAACAGATTCCTTTACAGTGAAGTGGGCCCTTCTCAGAACTGGACTCTAGTGTAGAGACAGATACACTTGGACTGCATGTGTATGTGTGTGTGTCAGAGACGTCATGCCCATAGAGGGCACAGGGACACGTGCCCCCTCAGAATTGTCCTGTAATACTACTAGCCATTTAGCAATTTTATGATGTTGGTTTTAGCTAGCCCAGAAACACTGTAGGTTGCCAATCTCCCAACCTCATAACTAGCTACCAAGAAGCCATTTCAGTCATTTCAGGCTATCAAGTTAGAGTAGCTAGCTTCTCTAACTACAGTATATTAGCTGGCATGCCTGCTGGCATGGTTGATCAACTTTAGAAAAGCAAGCAATAACTACAGTATGTACTGAATAAGACTCCCATTCCTTTCAGTCTTTTAAACAATTCTAAATTCTCCAACTTATGGACAGGGGACCTATCCCCCACTCCGGACCACCCCCCCCCCCCCCAGCCATTCTCACGCACTTTGTACCCACTCAGATTTTTGGGGTTCATGATGCCCCTAGTGTGTGCTGTGTATGTTCTGTCTGCATATTGTTTGTGTGCCACACGCCGGGTTCCATCAGAGGGATGTGTAATCAAGGCCATGGTCTAATAAAGGAATACAGCACTCTCTCTCTCTCTCGCACGCTCTTTCTCTCTCTCTCTCTCTCGCATGCTCTTTCTCTCTCTCTCTCTCTCTCTCTCTCTCTCGCATGCTCTTTCTCTCTCTCTCTCTCTCTCTCTCTCTCGCATGCTCTTTCTCTCTCTCTCTCTCTCTCTCTCTCTCTCATGCCTAGTTGGCAGTGAACTGACAGTGCAGATGGGGGGTTGTTAAGGATGGGAGGCGGTGGTGTTTTAGGGCCGTGTTCAATTGATGGATGTTTAGCAGCGTGCATGTTCAAATGCCCCAGCAGCCAGGTAGGCACAGCAGTGGAGGGAGGGAGGGAGAGAGGGAAGGAGCGAGAGGGTGAGATGGAGGCAGAGAAGCCAGAGTATGGAGGCTGGGCTGGGCTAGGCTGGGCTGGGTGGAGAATGGGAAGTAGTGATTCAAAGGAGAGGTAATTATTTTAGGTAATATGGTACACTTATCATAATTCAGTTGTAATCCAGAGAGGTTAGAAAAATTATCTAGATCCTCTATGAGGCTGTGCAGGGATCAAAATTGTGGATTTAAAAGAAAACATGAATCGTCAGCATATAATGACACCTTCGTTTTTAAGCCCTGAATTTCTAGCCCCTTGATATTATTGTTGGATCTGATTTTAATAGCTAACAGTTCGATGGCCATTTTAATACTTTCTGAGAATTAGCCATTATTTACTATTTTACACCTGGGGTTACATTGTATAAGAGATTCTCCAAAATGTTAAATATTCCAGGCATTTATATATAAATTCCAATCGTACTTTATCAAAAGCCTTTTCGAAGTCAGCTATGAATACCAGGCCTGGTTTCCAGGTTTTTTATAGTGTTTTATTGTTTCAAGTACTTGTCTAATTATCTCCAATGTATCGTCCATTTAAAAAACCTATCAGATTAGGATGAATAATATCCGACAATACTTTTTTAATTCTATGCGCTATGTATTTTTCTAGAAATGTTGCATCACAACACTGAAGTAAGTGTAAGGGGCCTCCAATTTTTTTATGGACTGGATCTTTATATTTACCACCTGGGTCCTGTTTCAGTAGTAGTGAAATCAAACCACCTTGCTGAGTACCTGATAGTATAAAATGTTAATAGGAGTGGTTAAAACATGCTAATAGTGGATCTTTGAGTAGATCAAAAAAAGGTTTCATATACCTCAACTGGTATGCCATCCAGCCCTGGAGTTGTCCCTGGCCTAAAGGCTTTAATTGCATCAAGAAGTTCCTCCTCTGCAATTTGGACCTCACAGAAGTCTTTCTGTACAGCTGTTAATTGTACACTATTAAAATTAAAAATCCTTACAGTTACCTTCAGTTAGTGGAAATGGAGGAGACTGAAAAGAGAACATATGCTTAAAGTACTTTGCTTCCTCTTTCAAAATATAATTTGGTGAATCATGGATGACTCCGTCATTTGTAAGTTTCTGTAAATAATTTTTGGTAGCTATGTTGAAGATTCAAAAAGAATTTGGTGCATTTTTCAACATTTTCCATTCGATTGGCTTGATTTTTTATAATAGATTATTCTTGATTGTTCCCGAATAAGTTCCTTCATTTTTTTTTTCTTTTTCCTCTGTTATTCTGTGCCTCTATGTTACAGTTTTTATTGCTATCCATCTGTATCGTTATTTCTTCATATTAACAAAGAACATTTTGACTGAAATAGTTTGTGTTTTAAAGATGAGTATTGAATTGCATGACCTCTAAAGGTCAATTTTTTTTAAACTCTCCCATACAATAAGTGGATCTGCTCTACCTATGTTATGCAGGAAAAAGTCACTTATAAAATCCTTTTGCTTGGTTAAAACTTGTTGTCATCCAGTAGGCTTTGATTACATTTCCAATATCCTCACCCAGGTGGAAATTCTGTAAGAGTAATGTGGATACCAATTATTTGATGGTCCGACCGCATTCCACCCCCTATCAAAACTTGTTTTACTTTTGTTACCAGCGCAAATAATACAAGAAATTAATCAAGATGACTAGCTTGATTAAGCCTCCTCCATGTACACTATATATACAAAAGTATGTGGACAGCCCATCAAATTAGTGGATTCGGCTATTTCAGCCACACCTGTTGTTGACAGTTGTATAAAATCGAGCACCCAGCCATGCAATCTCCATAGACGTGGCACCGTCATAGGATACCACCTTTCCAACAAGTCAGTTTGTCAAATTTCTGCCCTGCTAGAGCTGCCCCGGTCAACTGTAAGTGCTGCTGTTGTGAATTGGTAATGTCTAGGAGCAACAACGGCTCAGCCGCGAAGTGGTAAGCCACACAAGCTCACAGAACGGGACTGCTGAAGCGAGTAGTGCATAAAAATCGTCTGTCCCTGGTTGCAACACTCACTACCGAGTTCCAAACTGCCTCTGGAAGCAACATCAGCACAAGAACTGTTCGTCGGGAGCTTCATGAAATGGGTTTCCATGGCCAAGCAGCCGCACACAAGCCTAAGATCACCATGCGCAATGCCAAGCGTCAGCTGGAGTGGCGTAAAACTTGCGGCCATTGGACCCTGGAGTGATGAATCACGCTTCACCATCTAGCAGTCCGACGAAGGAATCTGGGTTTGGCGGATGCCAGGAGAAAGCTACCTGCCCCAATGAATAGTGCCAACTGTAAAGTTTGGTGGAGGAGGAATAATGGCCTGGGGCTGTTTTTCATGGTTTGGGCTAGGCTCCTTAGTTCCAATGAAGGAAAATCTTAACGCTACAGCATACAATGACATTCTAGACAATTCTGTGCTTCCAACTTTGTGGCAACAATTTGAGGAAGGCCCTTTCCTGTTTCAGCATGACAATGTCCCTGTGCACAAAGCGAGGTCCATACAGAAATTGTTTGTTGAGATCGGTGTGGAAGAACTTGACTGGTCTGCACAGAGCCCTGACCTCAACCCCATCGAACACCTTTGATTTGAATTGGAACGCCGACAGCGAGCCAGGCCTAATCGCCCAACATCAGCGCCCGACCTCACTAATGCTCTTGTGGCTGAATGGAAGCAAGTCCCTGCAGCAATTTTCCAACATCTAGTGGAAAGCCTTCCCAGAAGAGTGGAGGTGTTTATAGCCACAAAGGGGGGGACCAACTCCATATTAATGCCCATGATTTTGGAATAAGATGTTCGATGAGCATATGTTCACATACTTTTGGTAATATATTGTATATCTCACTAAGTCTGGATTTGTAAGCCTCCATATATCCACTAGTTCTAATGTGTCCATGATATTCGTAATTTCCCTAAGTGCATGAGGGTGATAGTTTGTAGTGTGATTTCCTTTACAATCCATTGGGGTACTTAAAACCGATTATAATTCAATCACCATAATAATAGTAATTTGTTGCTTGTAAGCACGATAGATTAGTATACATCATTTTGTGTGGATCATCATTATTTGGACCATATAGATTAATTAGCCAAATATGTTTATCGTCCAATGGCATATTTAAAATTATCCACCTTCCTTTCGGATCTGTTTGGACATTTTGCAAATTCGGCTCGAAATTGTTATTAATTAATATCATCACCCCTTTTGAGTTTCTTTGCCCATTATAGAAATATATTTCTGTAATTGTAGAGTGAGTTTCCTTTAAACAATAGATATTATTTTAGCCAAGTAAAGACTGATAGTCTTTTTTTATAATCTGCTAAGCCATTACAATTATAACTAGCTATACTTATTTCACCACTTACCATATGAGATACAAGTTTCAATTATACTTACCATAATATATGCCTGTAAACCTACTACCAAAAAGTACCATGTTGATCAAGCTGCTAGACACATTTACATTTACATTTACAGACACCTAGAAGGGGGTGTTGTCCCTGATACTATCATACCACCCCCATACCCGTAACGGGCCTTTAGCGTCCTAAAACACACCTTCAACCGCCGATTGGCGTGGCCCGGGTAAAACATTTTGTGTGTGTGGTTAGGATGCTGAGCACGTGGAGCTAATGTCTCTGTCACCCCTCTGCACTGAGCAGTGGACTTGCCCGATCATAAGAGATGACATCACTGCACTCCTGCCCATCTCTCATCATCAGCAGAGCAGAGAGGATACAGACAAGAAGCTAGCAGCTACACCCACCACCTCTCCTCCCCTCCCTCAGTCACATACCACACTGTGGTGGTCGTAAATAGACCTCATATGATTAAAACAATAGTCTACTTTAACTAACAATAAATCCACACACTGGTATATGCTCCCAGGGGTAGGTTAATCAGACAACGTTTTGACGCCAAACTGGGTCTTCGTCAGGAAGCCTGTGAATGTCCGGTTGCTGTTTGCAGCAACAAGTGTTGTCCCAGAGGTGTGAGTGGGAGCAGATATTATAGCAGGATTCATGTGTGTATGTCACGCTGTCACAAATGCTTTATCTCCAGCAAGCTCAGAGACGGGGAGTTCACGCAAAACTTCACTGGGTGTCTGTCATTTTCAACCTCTCCTTGACCCGTTCTGTAATGTTTTAAGCAGACCTCCATAGTCCCTGTGCCACAGAACGCCAAGGTAACCTGTCTAAATGACTATCGCTGCGCAGCACTCACATCTGTAGCCATGAGATGCTTTTGAAAGGATGGTCATGGCTCACATAAACACCATCATCCCAGACACCCCGGACCCACTCCAATTCGCATACAGCCCCAACAGATCTACAGATGACGCAATCTTTATTGCACTCCACACTGCCCTTTCCCACCTGGACAAAGGGAACATCCATGTGAGAATGTTGTTAATTGACTACAGCTCAGCATTCAACACCATAGTGTCCTCCAAGCTCATCACTAAGCTAAGGACCCTGGGACTGAACACCTCCCTCTGCAACTGGATCCTGGACGTCCTGACGGGCCACCCCCAGGTGGTGAGGGTAGGCAAAAACACATCCGCCACGCTGACCCTCAACACGGAGGCCCCTCAGGGGTGCGTGCTTAGCCTATAGGTAGGAATGGCACACTTTGCATGTTTTACATTAGAGAAGCTTCCATTAAAGAAAGCCCTCTGTGTTCTATTGGATAGATAGCTCTCAACCCATGGTTTTGGTAGAGGATGTAAAGCCATAACACATACATACGTTTTACCAATAACAGATTATGGTCAAGAACATCAAATGCTGCACTAAAGTCTAACAATAAAGCTCCCACAATATTCTTATCAATTTGTTTCAGCCAATTATCAGTCATTTGTTTCAGTGCAGTACATGTTGAGTGCCCTTCTCTATAATTATGCTGAAAGTCTTGTTTAATTTGTTCACAAATAAATAGCATTGTATCTGGTCAAACGTTTTTTTTTTTTTTTGTTTGCTAAGAGCCGGCAGCAAGCTGATTGGTCGGTTGTTAGAACCAGTAAAGAGCACTTTACTGTTCTTGGGTAGCGGAATGACTTTCGCTTCCCACCTGGTCTGAGGACAATCACTTTTCTCCAGGCTAAAGATATGACAAACAGGAGTGGCAATATAGTCCGCTACCATCCTCAGTAGTTTTCCATCTAAATTGTCAATACCATGTGGTTTCTCTTTATTGATGGAGAACAATACTTTTTCCACTTCTCCCACACTAATTGTACAAAATTCTAAATTACAGTGTTTCTTTAATTATTAGGTATTTTATGCAGGTAAAATGTTGAATGAAATGTTGGAATGAAAATAGCTCTACAGTATGATACTATAATAGTTATTGTCTATTCTAGTTTTAGTTCAGCAGCGTCATAAACAACCGTATTTCAGTGCACAGCCTTACACGCAGAGTTCATGTAATGCCAAATGGATGGATGGATAACCTGGCCTCAGCTCTATCTCTGCAGAAAGTGCTGAGTGTGTGTGACCTGCTGGCTTAGAGTGGAAACATATGGTCTCCCCGAGTGGAACCTGTAATCTAAAAACCATTCCAGTCCTGTCTAACCCTCTTCTCTCTACACCAGCACAGCTGAAATGAATCCGACAAGGTATGCATGGACTGCTTCTATTACCAAGCCGGTGTTTTTCACATTCACACGCAGGTGTGAATTTGGAGTAGGAAACCCAGAATCATTTTAGTCAGTATAATGGTGTATGATTTGTGGCAATCGGGTGGTTATTTTCGATATGGTCATAACTACTGCTAAGCAAGGAAAGTGGAAGGTTTACATTGAAAAATAATGGGCAGTAAGCATTGTGTTCATGACTCACGAGTACATTGGAGACAGTATGGACTTTTAACATTTAATGTACTATAGATACCCAGATTCAAATGGAATGCGGATGTTGGGACCTTTCCGTAGCACGTGTGTAATATTTTCCAGTCTGATCTCTTGTAATGCATCTTCATAGACTCCCACATACAATTGAATTACACATGAGTTGAGGTAGTTTAAACACCGCTTTGAGAATATGGGGAATATACAGGGGGGAAACATCAATCAATCACCCCTCCCTATACACACACCACACACACACCACACACCAAAACAATCTAAAACAGTAACATCTCATACATTCATTGGCATTTACCATTTTGTCACAGCTAGAAAAATATGCAAGTTCTCTATCTGTCTCTCCTTTTCTGTATTGTCTGGGTGTGTTTTTTTCTTGCTCCTTTCTTCCTATCCCTGTCTCCTCACTCGTCTAGGCTGCAGGCCCTGAGGGAGGCTATGAGGCGGTGTATCTCCACTGCATACGAACCTCTGCCTGCCTGGCTGCCATAAAACACAAAAAAACATAAGTATTCTCTCCTCTCCTGTGTGCAGGGCATATAAAACCATTGAGGATGACGACCTGAAGTTTCCCCTAATCTATGGCGAAGGGAAGAAGGTAAGACTGCTCTCACCCGTCCGCCCCGGCCCCAGCCGCCCGTGAGCCTGCCTGTTAACAGGGCTACTCCCACAGCCTTGTTTTGCTGAGCTGTAATCAAAGCTCCACCAGGGCACCATTAGTCAGCCCAGTGTCACTCTGTGGAGGAGGGAGCAGTCTTTGTCTGCAGGAAGGCTCACAATGGTGGCATTCCAGACCATCTTTATAACAGTTGCACTGAACACACAATAAGATTGCTAGCCTATATCATGTTAATGGGGTTCCTGAGATGCCAAGCCAAAGTCTGGTTATCAGCGTATGCTACCCTGCATGTTAGGGCCTCTGCCCCTCATCTGACATGCAGGCAGTAGTCAGTTAGATGAGGACCAGGCAGATGTCACCCAAGTGCGGTCTGTTACCACACCACAGTAAGCCTCCTATCACAGTCATCTGTGCCCACGACGTCAAGTGCCGGCCGAGCCGAGTCCCTCCTTTGAAGTGAGGGGGAGAGCGATATAGAGTGATAGAAGGGAGGGGAGAGGATTGGGTTGTGCTGGAGAGAAGCGCCACCGCACTTCAAAGCCCGGCACAGCCTGTCGGGGCCGTACGTACCCTCAACAATTAATTAATTAATCCCAGGATGTTTCTCCTCCGCTCAAGGAGCTTTATCTCAGTCTTTCCCCCTTAGACTCTCCCTCTCTCTTTCTCCTCCTCTCTCTCTCTCATCTCGCTCTCGTTGCGGCATCTGCACTGCATACTGATCCCAGTTCATCCCAACTGACTGTACGACTGCCTCCTCTCTCTCCCCTCGCCCCCTCTATACTCTTTCGCCCCCTCTGTCTTCCCTCCTTTCTCTTTCCTCTCTCTCTCTCTCCTCCTCACATGGCTCCTTATACAATTAGCACTGCTCCCCAGCTCCAAGCAGCTAGCCCTTTTCAGAGGCAGAGGCGATATGTGCAGACAGTAGGAATCAAAAGGAATTTCACACAGCGTACAAATGAGGGAGACCGTAGACAGCGTCGGTGTCTTAGACTAGGTAGAGAGGAGAGAGATCGTTAAGGATTCACAGAACCGGAACATGCCGTGATGTTGTACTTTGCTTCATGGTACAGTGAACAATCACTTCCATTGCATTAGAGGTGGCAAAACGTGGATTATGTAGCAGTGCTTGTGTTTATTTGCCTTTATTTTTTAAATGGTGTTTGTGTGTGTGTGTGTGTTAAGATTTAAAATGACTATTGGTCAATTGCACACAAGGTCCAACTGTAATTTTACTTCCACTTTTAATCCAACCCCTCCTAAACCCACACATACAGTACATACATATACAGGTTTTTTGGAGAGGTGCTGGGGGCTGCCACACTGGGCGCCCAGGGAGATGTTGTTGTGGGGGGTTAAGTGCCTTGCTCAACAGCACAACAGTAGGCAATGGCATCTAGGATATGATACTAGCAACCCTACAGTTGGCAGCTCACCTCCCGACAGATTTGTCCCATCTGACCCGGGATTCGAACTGGCAACCCTCTGGTTGCTGGCTCGCCTCTCAAACCGCTAGGGTGTGTGGGTTTATGAAGATAAGATGTGCAGTCATGTATCTTGTAGCAAAGAGAAGTCTCCAGGGAGATATCCTTGGGGGTCATCATTATTAAAGTCATGAGGCCATCATTGGTCCAGTTTTAAATTTGCCCTTAGTCTGGGCCAGAGTAAATAGAATTTCAACTCAGTCGATTCTAGCAGTGAATTGAAATTAATTAATGTATTTAATAGGGAGATTTTTCAAAGACGATTCGGAATTTAAATTCCATCTCCCGCCAAGTTGACAGAGTTGAAAAACCGGTAGAATTGACTCTGACCCTGAGGTCCACACACATCAAAGGACTTCAATGGATCAAATGAACCCAAACATTGGTTTGAAATAATACGTGTTGCCAAAACAGAGTTGGGGAGTGAGGATCATAGGGTCAGAGGGAGGTGATGTTTATAGTTCCTCTCTTTGATGGTCTCATCCCTCCACAGGCACGTGTGTTGGCTACCATCGGGGTCACCAGGGGCCTGGGAGACCACGAGCTCAAAGTGCATGACTCCAACATCTACATCAAGCCCTTCCTGTCCTGCTGCCCCGAGGTAGAGTACTGTACTCCTTATTATCTATTTCCTGTCTATCAATAACCTGGAGAGTCTCTAATAGTGCCATAAAAGTGCATCAGACCTTACTGACCTCAATGTCATCATGATCAAATGACAGGAAACTGTCTGTGTTCCAAATGGCACCCTGTTCTAGATTCAGCCGCGGGCCAATGTTTTTCTTGAGCGGATGGTCGGGGGGCCGAAACATAATTACAAATAATTTGTAGACTGCAAATTGACCACAAGAAGCCCAAACAGGTATAATGTTTGACTAAAACATAAGAATTTCAAACCTTGCTTACATTTGTTTACGATCACGTCGTGTGTGTGTCTATTATGAGTGGGAATACTTGGGAACAGATGTCTTAAATTAAAATCACTTTGAGCTGATTTCTTTGTGTTTTACAGTTATGTCCAACAATTAAAATTCCACAAAAAAAAACACATTTTATATAATTTTTTGCTCAGAACTTGGGGGCCAAATAAAACCATGCGTGTACCGCCAGTTGGGGAACCCTGCCCTATATAGTGCACTACTTTTGTCCATCATTCCATCCAAACAGTATAATGTCTGCATTGAAGTTAGTGACATACCAACATTAACGTATGACTTATTGACATACATACAGTGGGGAGAACAAGTATTTGATACACTGCCGATTTTGCAGGTTTTCCTACTTACAAAGCATGTAGAGGTCTGTAATTTTTATCATAGGTACACTTCAACTGTGAGAGACTGAATCTAAAACAAAAATCCAGAAAATCACATTGTATGATTTTTAAGTAATTCATTTGCATTTTATTGCATGACATAAGTATTTGATCACCTATCAACCAGTAAGAATTCCGGCTCTCACAGACCTGTTAGTTTTTCTTTAAGAAGCCCTCCTGTTCTCCACTCATTACCTGTATTAACTGCACCTGTTTGAACTCGTTACCTGTATAAAAGACACCTGTCCACACACTCAATCAAACAGACTCCAACCTCTCCACAATGGCCAAGACCAGAGAGCTGTGTAAGGACATCAGGGATAAAATTGTAGACCTGCTTAAGGCTGGGATGGGCTACAGGACAATAGGCAAGCAGCTTGGTGAGAAGGCAACAACTGTTGGCGCAATTATTAGAAAATGGAAGAAGTTCAAGATGACGGTCAATCACCCTCGGTCTGGGGCTCCATGCAAGATTTCACCTCGTGAGGCATCAATGATCATAAGGAAGGTGAGGGATCAGCCCAGAACTACAAGGCAGGACCTGGTTAATGACCTGAAGAGAGCTGGGACCACAGTCTCAAAGAAAACCATTAGTAACACACTACGCCGTCATGGATTAAAGTCCTGCAGCGCATGCAAGGTCCCCCTGCTCAAGCCAGCGCATGTCCAGGCCCGTCTGAAGTTTGCCAATGACCATCTGGATGATCCAGAGGAGGAATGGGAGAAGGTCATGTGGTCTGATGAGACAAAAATATAGCTTTTTGGTCTAAACTCCACTCGCTGTATTTGGAGGAAGAAGAAGGATGAGTACAACCCCAAGAACACCATCCCAACCGTGAAGTATGGAGGTGGAAACATCATTCTTTGGGGATGCTTTTATGCAAAGGGGACAGGACGACTGCACCGTATTGAGGGGAGGATGGATGGGGCCATGTATCGCGAGATCTTGGCCAACAACCTCCTTCCCTCAGTAAGAGCATTGAAGATGGGTCGTGGCTGGGTCTTCCAGCATGACAACGACCCGAAACACACAGCCAGGGCAACTAAGGAGTGGCTCCATAAGAAGCATCTCAAGGTCCTGGAGTGGCCTAGCCAGTCTCCAGACCTGAACCCAATAGAAAATCTTTGGAGGAAGCTGAAAGTCCGTATTGCCCAGCGACAGCCCCGAAACCTGAAGGATCTGGAGAAGGTCTGTATGGAGGAGTGGGCCAAAATCCCTGCTGCAGTGTGTGGAAACCTGGTCAAGACCTACAGGAAACGTATGATCTCTGTAATTGCAAACTAAGGTTTCTGTACCAAATATTAAGTTCTGCTTTTCTGATGTATCAAATACTTATGTCATGCGATAAAATTCAAATTAATTACTTAAAAATCATACAATGTGATTTTCTGGATTTTTGTTTTAGATTCCGTCTCTCACAGTTGAAGTGTACCTATGATAAAAATTACAGACCTCTACATGCTTTGTAAGTAGGAAAACCTGCACAATCGGCAGTGTATCAAATACTTGTTCTCCCCACTGTACATGTCTTATTGACATACATACATACATTCACATTTAAACTCATCGTCTTAAAAGCAGTTTTCACCTTTTTTTTTTCACCTTTTTTTTTTTTTTCTCACCAGTTTTCACCTTCCAACCAACCCTCCACTGAACAATTACCTCCTGACTCCTGATAGTCACGAAGCTCTCAACACTCTCTTGATCTTTAATTCATCGCCCTCGGAGTTCAGTCATGGTTCAGACTGTGTGCTACCCGTACTGTAGATGAGCTTTTTTGAAGAGTTCTTCTTTTGAACCTTTTTTTCCCTATCCTCTATCCTTGCTGTTGCTCTAAACTTTAAAGTGACTGTAAATACATGTGCAGACAGTATGTACAGTGCATTTGGAAAGTATTCAGTAATCTACACACAATACCCCATAATGACAAAGCGAAAACAGGTTTTTAGAGATTTACTTTTTCCAAATTTTGTTACGTTACAGCCTTATTCTAAAATGGATAAAATATTTGTTTTCCTCAACAATCTACACACAATACCCCATAATGACAAATACGGAAATACCTTAAATTACATAAGAATTCAGACCCTTTGCTATGAGACTCGAAATTGAGCACGTGCATCCTGTTTCTATTTCTACAACTTGATTGGAGTCCACCTGTGTAAATTCAATTGATTGGACATGATTTGGAAAGGCACACACCTGTCTATATAAGGTCCCACAGTTGACAGTGCATGTCAGAGCAAAAACCAAGCCATGAGGTCGAAGGAATTGTCCGTAGAGCTCCAAGACAGGATTGTGTCAAGCACAGATCTGGAGAAGGGTACCAAAAAATTTCTGCAGCATTGAAGGTCCCCAAGAAAACAGTGGCCTCCATTCTTAAATGGAAGAAGTTTGGAACCACCAATACTCTTCCTAGAGCTGGATGCCCGGCCAAACTGAGCAATCGGGGGAGAAGGGCCTTGGTCAGGGAGGTGACCTCCGACTGGGGTGAATGTTCACCTTCCAACAGGACAACGACCCTAAGCACACGGCCAAGACAACGCAGGAGTGGCTTCGAGACAAGTCTCTGAATGTCCTTGAGTGGCCCAGCAAGAGCCTGGACTTGAACCCGATCAAGCATCTCTGGGGAGACCTGAAAATAGCTGTGCAGCAACGCTCCCCATTCAACCTGACAGAGCTTGAGAGGATCTGCAGAGAAGAATGGGAGAAACTCCCCAAATACAGGTGTGCCAAGCTTGTAGCGTCATTCCCAAGAAGACTCAAGACTGTAATCACTGCCAAAGGTGCTTCAACAAAGTACTGAGTAAATGGTCTGAATACTTATATAAAAATGTGATATTTCAGTTTATTTTTTATACATTTGCTAAAATTTCTAAAAACCTGTTTTTGCTTTGTCATTATGGTGTATTGCATGTAGATTGATGAGGGGGGGAAAAAACGATTTAATCCATTTTAGAATAAGTCTGTAATGTAACAAAATGTGGAAAAAGTCAAGGGGCCTGAATACTTTCCGAATGCACTGTATGTGATGTGTATATAAGATGGAGTTCGTAAATTGCTATGGAATCTGGTCCTCAGTGGTTTTTGCAGTTTCAGACTCGGTGAACCCAAGTTCAAGGCATTTCCTGTTGATCACATGTTCAAACATTGGTGCTTGTAGGTCAAAAGGAAGATGCGGTTAGTGGGAGTGTCATCACTGTTTTACAGTAAGGCGTCTCAATGTCGGCGACTCCCTTGTATATTGTAAAATAGATTCTTTATTGTTACTCCCACTGGTTATTATTCCAGTCAGACAGAGGCATTAATTTTCTGCCAATAGCTTTTTGACTTGTGATCGTAAGGTCCACAACATGTCACTGATGACTGATGATACATTAGCGACACTGTCATCATGCAGTGTTTGTTCATTGACTGACTCGCACTCTCAGTTTGTGTGAGGTGAAGGACATTCCTTTTATGGAGTAACAACATAGCAATATGCCCCTGGTCATTGTCATCATAGTACTCCCTCTACCAGCACATGGAAACAACAATACATCAAAACCATGGCACTTTGTCCAGAGACCAAAGCCAGGGGCATTACTTGGTGCTCTCAGAGTGTGACATGCAGCAGGATGCCTTTTTATTATACCAGATAAATAAAAAAGAGTGTGCTGTGGCAGAGTTAATGGGCACAGTAGCACTGATCTATACATTTAGAAGACCTCTTTGTGGAACCTGCAGGCTCTAGCTGTCTGTTATCAAAAATAAAAAATAAAGGAAAGGAAGAACATATGGTCATTTCCATGTAAAAGGACCCATGAGCACCAATGTGTAGTCCATAGGAGCATGTCAAATTGGGTGTCAAATGAAAGCTAAGAGTCTATATTTGTGAGAAATTATGGCATACAGTGCATTTGGAAAGTATTCAGACCCCTTGACCTTTTCCACATTTTGTTACATTACAGCCTTATTCTAAAATGGATTAAATCGTTTTTTTCCCCTCATCAATCTACATGCAATACACCATAATGACAAAGCAAAACGTTTTTTTTGTAAATTTAAGCAAATGTATTAAAAATAAAAAAACGTTAATATCACATTTACATAAGTATTCAGACCCTTTACTTAGTACTTTGTTAAAGCACCTTTGGCAGCGATTACAGCCTCAAATCTTCTTGGGTATGATGCTACAAGCTTGGCACAAATCTATTTGGGGAGTTTCTCCCATTCCTCTATGCAGATCCTTTCAAGCTCTTTCAGGTTGGATGGGGAGCGTTGCTGCACAGCTATTTTCAGGTCTCTCCAGAGATGTTCGATCGGGTTCAAGTCCGGGCTCTTGCTGGGCCACTCAAGGACATTCAGAGACTTGTCCCAAAGCCACTCCTGCGTTGTCTTGGCTGTGTGCTTAGGGTCATTGTCCTGTTGGAAGTTGAACCTTCGCCCAAGTCTGAGGTCCTGAGCACTCTGAAGCAGGTTTTCATCAAGGATCTTGCTGTACTTTGCTCCGTTCATCTTTCCCTCGATCCTGACTAGTCTCCCAGTCACTGCCGCTGAAAAACATCCCGACAGCATGATGCTGCCACCACCATGCTTCACAATAGGGATGGTGCCAGGTTTCCTCAAGACGTGACGCTTGGCATTCAGGCCAAAGAGTTCTATCTTGGTTTCATAAGACCAGAGAATCTTGTTTCTCATGGTCTGAGAGTCTTTAGGTGCCTTTTCTAGAGCTCTGTCGGAGTGACCATCGGGTTCTTGGTCACCTCCCTGACCAAGGCTCTTCTCCCCCGATTGCTCAGTTTGGCCGGGTGGCCAGCTCTAGGAAGAGTCTTGGTGGTTCCAAACTTCTTCCATTTAAGAATGATGGAGGCCACTGTGTGCTTGGGGACCTTCAATGCTGCAGAAATGTTTTGGTACACTTCCCCAGATCTGTGCCTCGACAAAATCTTGTCTCGGAGCTCTACGGACAATTCCTTCGACCTCATGGCTTTGTTTCTGCTCTGACATGCACTGTCAACTCTGGGACCTTATATAGACAGGTGTGTGCCTTTCCAAATCATGTCCAATCAATTGAATTTACCACAGGTGGACTCCAATGAAGTTGTAGAAACATCTCAAGGATGATCAATGGAAACAGGATGCACGTGCTCAATTTCGAGTCTCATAGCAAAGGGTCTGAATTCTTATGTAATTTAAGGTATTTCTGTATTTGTCATTATGGGGTATTGTGTGTAGATTGCTGAGGAAAACAAATATTTTATCCATTTTAGAATAAGGCTGTAACGTAACAAAATGTGGAAAAAGTCAAGGGGTCTGAATACTTTCCGAAGGCTCTGTATATACATTTTTCAACCATTTTCCATCCTGAAGATTCTGAATAAGCAAAGGCTTTGATTTCTGGTCAAACAGATGGAAAAGGGGTTTTAGAAAAAGTCTTAAGGTATTAGAAATGCATCAAAACCCAAAAACTTTGAAGACTCCAGCCAATTTCCGAAAAATCGGAAACCGAATTTATGCAATTGAAATGGCTACAATGGGAAATCATAGTAGCCACAAACCACAGTTGGGTTCACAAGTTTGGACAGCACAGTGCAGTAGAGTATAGTACAGTAGAGCACACGAGTTGAGTACACTATATTGTACTGAACTGTACTCTACGGTACCCTACTGAGCTCTACTGTGCTGAATTTTGATGTCCTAACTTGTGAAACATAGATGTCTATGAATGGTTCAGATTTGGTCTGGATCAACCAAATGTGGTCTTGTTTGGGGGCAGAGCTCATTAAAATAATAGTCAGTGTGTAGAATAGCATCCACTTCACTTACTTCAACAACCAAAATAGATTTTTTCAAAGTTATTGTGTCATTTCATAGCTGACATCCCATTTGTTCTGCAGACATCGTTGAATCTGAAGTTGAAGCAGATATTTAAGAGTTTTTGGAAAACGTGGACACAAAAAAACAGAGGGAGATTTTACTGAAATTCTGGTACCAAACTTTACATCTGCACAGTTCTTCCAGTAAATGTGTTTTTGTAAAATGTTCAGAGTAAATTGTTAAAAGTAGTCATTGTGCATAGAGTTGTATGGTTTGTTAAACTTTGAAATCAATGGTTTTTGTTTGGCTTACATTTTAAGTGAATAGTCTGAGTCTCAGCGCAATTCCGTTATCGTCATTAGCCTGTTCATTAAACCACACCAGCGACGCATAGTACTGTACACATCTGTAAACTCTACAGAGTCACTTTAATAATGTTTGCAGACTGTTTTACCCACTTTATAGGTATTCTAGTCATGGCTCATCCTATATAACTACTACTGTACACGCCTTTTCTATTCACATACTGTCCATACACACCATTCACATACATATATATTAACACTGATTGAACAAAACATTAAGAACATATTCCTGATATTGATACATAGCAAAGGGTCTAAATACTTATGTACAGTGGGGGAAAAAAGTATTTAGTCAGCCACCAATTGTGCAAGTTCTCCCACTTAAAAAGATGAGAGAGGCCTGTAATTTTCATCATAGGTGCACGTCAACTATGACAGACAGATTGAGATTTTTTTTCTCCAGAAAATCACATTGTAGGATTTTTAATGAATTTATTTGCAAATTATGGTGGAAAATAAGTATTTGGTCACCTACAAACAAGCAAGATTTCTGGCTCTCACAGACCTGTAACTTCTTCTTTAAGAGGCTCCTCTGTCCTCCACTCGTTACCTGTATTAATGGCACCTGCTTGAACTTGTTATCAGTATAAAAGACACCTGTCCACAACCTCAAACAGTCACACTCCAAACTCCACTATGGCCAAGACCAAAGAGCTGTCAAAGGACACCAGAAACAAAATTGTAGACCTGCACCAGGCTGGGAAGACTGAATCTGCAATAGGTAAGCAGCTTGGTTTGAAGAAATCAACTGTGGGAGCAATTATTAGGAAATGGAAGACATACAAGACCACTGATAATCTCCCTCGATCTGGGGCTCCACGCAAGATCTCACCCCGTGGGGTCAAAATGATCACAAGAACGGTGAGCAAAAATCCCAGAACCACACGGGGGGACCTAGTGAATGACCTGCAGAGAGCTGGGACCAAAGTAACAAAGCCTACCATCAGTAACACACTACGCCGCCAGGGACTCAAATCCTGCAGTGCCAGACGTGTCCCCCTGCCTAAGCCAGTACATGTCCAGGCCCGTCTGAAGTTTGCTAGAGTGCATTTGGATGATCCAGAAGAGGATTGGGAGAATGACATATGGTCAGATGAAACCAAAATAGAACTTTTTGATAAAAACTCAACTCGTCGTGTTAGGAGGACAAAGAATGCTGAGTTGCTTCCAAAGAACACCATACCTACTGTGAAGCATGGGGGTGGAAACATCATGCTTTGGGGCTGTTTTTCTGCAAAGGGACCAGGACGACTGATCCGTGTAAAGGAAAGAATGAATGGGGCCATGTATCGTGAGATTTTGAGTGAAAACCTCCTTCCATCAGCAAGGGCATTGAAGATGAAACGTGGCTGGGTCTTTCAGCATGACAATGATTCCAAACACACCGCCCGGGCAACGAAGGAGTGGCTTCGTAAGAAGCATTTCAAGGTCCTGGAGTGGCCTAGCCAGTCTCCAGATCTCAACCCCATAGAAAATCTTTGGAGGGAGTTCAAAGTCCGTGTTGCCCAGCGACAGCCCCAAAACATCACTGCTCTAGAGGAGATCTGCATGGAGGAATGGGCCAAAATACCAGCAACAGTGTGTGAAAACCTTGTGAAGACTTACAGAAAATGTTTGACCTGTGTCATTGCCAACAAAGGGTATATAACAAAGTATTAAGACACTTTTGTTATTGACCAAATACTTATTTTCCACCATAATTTGCAAATAAATTCATTAAAAATCCTACAATGTGATATTCTGGATTTATTTTTCTCATTTTGTTACAGGCCTCTCTCATCTTTTTAAGTGGGAGAACTTGCACAATTGGTGGCTGACTAAATACTTTTTTTCCCCACTGTAAATAAGGTATATGTTGGTTTTTTTTTATACATTTGCAAAAATTTCTAAACCTGTTTTTGCTTTGTCATTATTGGGTATTTTGTGTAGATTGAGGGACATGTTTTATTTAATCAATTTTAGAATAAGGCTGTAATGTAACAAAGTGGAAAAAGTCAAGGGGTCTGAATACTTTACGAATGCACTGTATGTCATGGAAAGCGCAGGTGTTCCTAATGTTTTGTACACTCAGTGTACATAAACACATCATAAATACACAAGAACACATGCATATATCATAAATACACATACAACACACTCACATAAATACACATGAAAACATACACTACCAATCATAAAAGAAGGAAACACTTCTCTAAACATTTTTCCCCAACTACAATATAGCACATAAAAAGGACCTGATATGGATTAAAATTCATGTTTTGTACACAGTGTATATTCCATACTCTGGTCCGGAAGCTAATTTCCTGCAATTCTATCCATTTTGCATGGGGTTTTCTACTGCGTATTTAAATATTGTATTCTCTATATAGCTCATTCTAATATTTCTACTACTGTACATTGCATTTTAGTTACTGTTTATACACACCACATATTTATTTATATACTGGATTCTTGACATAACCCACTCTATACCTACTGCTGTACATATTACTCTTAGTACATCATGTGTAAATTCATCTGGTGTATATAGATTGGTTTGGATTACCGTTACAGTGCTATTTGGTTGTTAATTTGATTTATTCTGATATATATATATATATATATTTTTTTTTTATACATGTTTTATTATTGTGTACTGTTTGACATTTTACTGCATTGTTAGGAGCTAGTAACATAAGCATTTCACTGGACCCGCAACAACATCTGCTAAACTGTGTACGCAACCAATAAACTTTGATTTGATAGAGTGAAGGAGACCTGTTACAAATGGTTTACAGACAGGATGTGCCTCTGTGACCTTCTCTCTGTAATAACATCACCATCACCTCCCTCTATGCCCATCCACAGGTCAAAGTTTACCCTCTGACGCAGTACGAACACGGGGCTGATGACGTCCTGGTGATGGGGACAGACGGGCTGTGGGATGTTCTCTCCAACCAGGAGGTTGCTGAAGCAGTCACCTGCTTCCTGGCCAACTGTGACCCTGACGACCAGCATAGGCATGTTCCACTCATACTACAGTAGCACAGCTGCTGCCCCTAGCCAGATAGACTGATAGATAATGTAGTCACAAGCCTGAACTTCCGCTCACCCCACTCTTATTTGGAGAGGATGAACGTTGTTATCTTGTCGTAATTACACACATTTCTAAACATTTGGATAAGTATGTAAGTTGATAAAGAGCTTGTGAGACTAGTAATGGAAAGGTTTGTTTCTTGAGGATACAATGGCATGGTGGTTGATTAAGTAATCAAAACAGGAAAAACATTCAAATCGTTTACGAAAGGTTCTACACCCCTTCAAGGCTTTCTTAGTTTGGGGTTTAGTAAGTTAGCTTTAGGTGGCCGGTGGAAGAGTTTAGAGACTTTCTAATTGGTAGGTTGTCATGTCATTATTCTCTTGCTATTTGTTCACACACTGGAGATGAATAGAACTAGCTGTCTGCTCTATGTCTAAGTATACTGTCCTTTGTCTCTTCCATTGTGCTCCAGGTACACGATGGCAGCTCAGGACCTAGTCATGAGGGCACGGGGGGTCCTGAAGGACCGAGGCTGGAGGATAGCCAACGAGCGGCTGGGCTCTGGAGATGACATCTCTGTCTACATCATCCCTCTGATGTACGGCAACCGGCAGACCTAGCCCAGGCCCAGCTCGCCTCCACCCACTATGGGACTCAAGACATGGCCTGTGTCTGAAATGGCACCCTATTCCCTATATAGTGCACTGCACTACTTTTAGCCAAGGCCATAAAAAGTAGTGCACTATATAGGGTATAGGGTGCTGTTTTAGGCACTCGTCCAAGCGGCAGACCTAGCTGAAGCCCAGCTAACCACCCACCATGGGACTCTAAACAGGCTGCTCCCCCTCTCCCATCCATCCTAACCCTCCTTTCCTTAAATCAATGCCCTGGTGCTCACACAGTGCTTAATCCTGGACTGTTTTCCTAAGGATGCAAAATGGCTCCTGGTTGTTGTACAGTACAGGGTAGCATGATTGTGCTTCTCTCTTGTGAAAGGAAATTCTCAGGATGTTCCAATATACAGTACCTTCAGTTTCTTCTTTTGTTTCTGTGCTGCAAATGAACAAGGGATAATTCTGGATTCAAAGGCCTATGAGGGCCATGTATTTCAAACTATTCAGTAGGCTATGGTTTCTGTTGCAATGGAAGGGTATTGCTTTCACAGAGGTGTTACTACTCTTTTGGATATCGCATGGGACAATTTTAAATGAAGGGCAAAGGGACTGTCTTTCGAAGTGCAATGCTTTATGGTGTTGGTTTTTAGCCTATTTAGATCAGATATTGTTAATATATTACTGATTATGAACATGTAAATATGCTTAAACAGGAATGGATTTTAGATATAGATTTCAGGTGTATATACCCTGTTTGAGTTGTGTGTACAGTATACGTTATGGAACCTGTTTTGTTCCTATGATGTTCTGTGTGTCTTTTCTGACTAAGGTCAACCATCCATTACATACATAAGTCACTGACCTAGACTAGGAGTGTCAAACATACAATCTGGCCTGTGGGTGGTTTGAGTAAAAAAGAAATGTGTGTATATATATATTTATTTTCTTTTTGTTTAAATAGTTTTTTTGGGGGTGTAGAAATGATCATGGACCTACATTCATACAGTTTCTTGACTGTGTCCAGCTCGCTATTAATCACCAAAATGAAAGCTAGACAGTCAGGGAGCATCAAATTCAAAAAATGATGGATAGTTGTCTATTTTTTGCTAATTTTGACAGCTAGGAAATATAACCCATTGTCATTGTGGGGCAAAATGAGTGACTCCCCTGACCTAGACTGTACAATTCTACCACAGACATACTATAGCTTTCAGAACCATAGTTTGGGTGTTCCTTTCCAAGTGTAAAATGATTTAAGTCAGACTGGTTTTATTGCCAGTGACAATGTTAATCACATTGTTTACTTTTTCTCCATATTGATGGGTTTGTATTTTCTTTGTCATTGCTGTTCTCCTGAATGTGAATTTACTGAATGTGAATTTAATTAGGGTTGCAAACGGAGGGTATATTACTGGAAACTTTCTAAGTTTACCGGTAGACTGTCAGAATTTTGGTATCTTTCAATGATTTTATGTAATCCATCACAAGACATTTAGTGGCCATTTTGGGTGTATTCGATTATCACAGGGTCTGCAATAATCTCTTGCACTCTGTGTGGCTTTATCACATGTAAAATACATTAAATAATTGAATAAGATGATTACAAAAATATAGAATGACAAAGCTGTTAAACATTATCCTAAATATAAACCATCATTTTGAGAATAGCATTTGTTTAATATGAGGGTTTCAGCATGAAATATATATTATAATTTTTTTTTACAAACTTTATTTTATTTTACTATGTCTATGTATTTCTTGTCAATGTTTTGGCTTCAAACTGGTGGCAGTTGTGAAAAATGTTGGAAGAGTTGCAGAGTTAAGGGATAATCAACGAGCGGCTATGCGTTCTATGGAAAATAATGAACGACGTGGAAGATGTGTTCCATGACGCGCTAGCGGAGTGAAACTGACCTTCCACTGAGTTGATTATCCCTTTTATTTCCATGGCTATAAATTATCACACTAGAAATGTGTATTATTCAACCTCCACAAGTAGCTAGCAAGTTTACTAGATACCTACATTAGTTGCCGTGGTAACCAAACAGACTTGCTAGTTTAGCTAACCAAACCATCAGTCCTAGCTTGCTATTATGAAAAATCTAATTCAACAATGGCAATGTTTTCAATTCGACTTTTGCTTTCAAAAGCAGCTCAAACAAAACATTTAAGAGTGAACTATAGCCATTTAATTATACGGTGCTGATATACCGTGCGTTATAGGGAAATAATGCACGCTCTTGAATGCCAATCAGAAACAAGTATTCAACAAAGCCATGGTATAATTTAAGCAATAAGGCCAGAGGGGGTGTGGTATATGGCCAATATACCACGGCTAAGGTCTGTGCCTGGATACAGCCCTTAGCCATAGTATATTGGCCATATACTGTACCACAAAGCCCTGAGGTGCCTTATTGCTATTATAAATTGGTTACCATAGTAATTAGAAGAGTACAAATTTATATTTTATCATACCCGTGGTATACGGTCTGATATACCACAGCTTTCAGCCAATCAGCATTCAGGGCTCAAACCACCCAGTTTGTAAATGAAAATAATTCCATTGTTGATTAAATAATTATTTTCATTAATTAGGCTATTTTCTCTTGAACCATATGATCTATCTACTAGAAACCCATGGACAATATGGACACAGATATAATAAATTAATACTATATATGATGATTTATGTATTTATTTTTACAGTTTACTAGTATCAATTACCAAAGTTATGATAGATTGTCATAGATTTTCTGTTAATTATCAAAATTACTGAAGATTGTGGTAACTTTGGTAAATTACTGGTAGCTTTGCAACCCTACATTTGATACATAATTGTGAAACATCTACCTCGTGCTTTTGGTTTGTTTTAAACAAGAGATCCAATCCCTTGTCCCTGTTTTACCTTTGCATTTTTTTCTATATGCAAATACATGTTTGCATCATCCTGTTTGTGTGCTTGTTGACTTTTGAAAAATGAAACGGCATAGGTACTGTACATGTGCCATTCTTTACTTAATGAATGTCATGTCACTAGTTTTCATACTAGTATAGCTTAGTCTAGCTCTGTTCAACATTGTATTGATGGGTGCCACAAAAAATCTGAACTCATCATGAGGGGCTGCAGTTGCGCTCGCTTACACACAGAGAGCAACAACAACAAAAAAACATTTTAGAGTTAATTTTGTGAGATTCTACACATTTTGCAATGGGGTGTAAAGAAAATGTTGCAGTTTTGAAGCAAGTTTTCTGCAATTCTACACATTTTGGCATAGGGTGGAGCTAAATGTTTGCCGTTTTTAATATGATAACTGAGTGAGACTGACTACCAAAGTAAATGGGGGCCCATGGATGGTAATTCGACCATAATAACAAGTTTAGATAGTTTAGCAGCCAGCTAACTTAGCAATCAAAAATGATTTAGCTGTCATGGGCTAATTGACTGACTCTGTGACTGACATAACAAGAGAAACTGTTGATGCCAACCACATTTCTAAATTGCACCATGTGTATTCTACTATTTTAACTCGCAACAAAAAGTTGAGACCCCGACTGAATTTCCCAAAAACCCACCTAAAAAACATGTTTTTGGGGGGCAAATTGATCCAAAGGCCTTCAAAAGGAGGGCCCGCTCGGGCTGCCAGTTGCCCATCCCTGTTTTAAGGGAAACTCCCCTAACTGTCATATATTGCGACATGAATATGACATAAGTATAAATGGTTTACTGAATGTTCTGAGGGCAGAATCCTTACTTGAGACATGGTTGTGTAATTGTAGCCAAAGTTCAAGTTACAAGTGTGTATCTCAAATTAACATTCAACCCTTAAAGGCTAGAGTTACATCAGATACATTGATTAGCAAGTGTTTGGGAGAAACGCATAAGATGCATTGGAATGCTGGTATGAAACCGTTGCTCTCTGTTCTTTGTCATTTTGAAATTATATTTACTTGAAGTTTACTGTTCATACGTCACACAACTCAGGGAGCTATGTGACCGATTCTCATGCCGGATGTTGTACAGAATGTTTTCTCTGTACAGAGTGTATTTTATCCTGTATCCTTGTGTTATTATGCAGTCTGGTATTTACACTTTGCTGAACAATACTCTGCAAACTAACCATTTATGGCATTGACCTGAATCAATTGCTGTTCAGATACAGTATGAAGGATGTACAGTGTCTTGGGTTCCCACCTTTTTCCCTTTTATGGATCAGAGGATGGAACTAGCATTTATTTAAATGGTTGATGCACTTTCTTCAGTCAATGTAGTATGGCTATTCTTCATTCAATACAGTGGGCTGACAATGTTATCTCCTGGATGACCAGTCAGGAGCGACATTAATAGGCATTCTGCCTCTTCACCTCACGTACGACCTCTACCGATGTCACTGATGCTCTAAAGAGAAACTCATAGTCACTAATGATGTCAGAACTTGGGACTTGCAAGATGTATCTGTGGTGTTTAAGTGGATTCATGTCTGAGTTGTTTAAAAAAACGTTTTTAGGGAGGTGTTGACGTCTACAACCACACGGTTTCTAATCCAGTCAAATCAGTCTCTAGTCATGCCTATTCCATGTTAACTCGTGTCTCTGTTCCTTTTACTGTTCTTAGCATTTTTCTTTTCAAGCTGTTTCAAAGTGTTTCAAGCAGAAGCAGAATGTAAAAAAGAATTGTAAAAAGACAAGTCTGAAACAAGTCTCTCCTTTGTAATACTGTATGTGTTGTACATTTTTTGTTACTCCAAGAAAAACTAAATGAAGTAAACAGGCATTTGTAATGTTTTGAAAACATAAGTGCAATGTAAAAAATTAAGGATGGCTTTTCCAATTGATTAAAAATGCTGTGTGAGCTATCATTCTGAAGCCTCTTTTCTAGTAAATGTTAGAAGTAAAAATAAATGTACAAAGGGTACACTCATCAACAGAACGTACCATTGTGTCTATCTACAACAACAGATTTAGATAGATCTACATTCTGTAAATCAGATGGATACAGTACATGCTACACAGGACTCATATAGGAAGTCTTCGTGTCTAGGGAGTGTTTAGGGCTCAATTACCAGATGGCACTAGGC